CTCTCTCTCTCTCTCTCTCTCTCTCTCTCTCTCTCTCTCCCTCCCTCCCTCCCTCCCTCTCTCTCTCTCTCTATCCCCCTCTCTGTCTTTCCGTCTCTGACGTCTGGATCCAAGATGGTACAGGATGTTCTGTGACTCCATGGATCTTCCCTGTCACCCAGAGGTCTCTGGCTCCCATTTCTGCCCCCAGCCCAAGGGCCGTCCCTCTGTGGGAGATAAGGGGCCCCCTCGTCCCCCCAGGCCCACAGACTCTCTTACAGGAGCCCCTTTTCCTCCCCCCCAATCCTGCCCCTACAGGTTTATCTCCTCTTGGCAGGCTGACTGCAGTTCTCATCGGTAAAGATAATGGTGGGGTTCCCTCATTGCCTAAATGACCTCCCCACCAACCCGAGACTCTGGGGGTCCCAAGCTCTGCACCCGGCTTTGGCCCCTGGCTCAGGCTGCTGCATAGCTCCATGCTGCTCTTTTCAGTTCCATAACAGAACCTGGCTTGGGGAAGTGGAGGCGAGCACGTGAGGAAGGAGCTGGTCTACTCAGGAGCCATTGAGGAAGTGGTGGCCTTCTGGACAGCAGGGACTGTCCTTTGCCTCTTTTTTCTGTTCTCAGCGCTTAGCACAGTGCCCCGCACACAGTAGGTCCTTAGTGTTAATTGATTGACTAATTGACACTGTACCATACCCATGGGCCTGGGGCTGGGGGTTGTAGGGAAGAGACCCTTAGGAGTCTTACGTAGTTCAGGAGAGGACAAAGGACAAAGATCAGGAGGAAAAGCCGTGTGGAATGAAAAGAACTCTGGATTAGGGGCCTAACCCAGTTCTAGGCCACTTCTAAGAAGTTTGGCTTGGATCAGGGGCTGTTAACCTGGGGTCCATGGACCCCCACGGGGTCTGCGAGTAGATTTCAGGGGTCATTGAAAATGTCTAGGAAAAAGAATACATGTTTATTTTCATTAACCTTCAACAGAAACTCAGCATTTCCTTCAAATAGGAATTAACACACACACACACACACACACACACACACACACACACCACAACACACTATCTGAGAAAGCATCCACCTAGGCTTCGTCAGACCAGCTCAGGGCTTATGACACCCAGAAAGTTAAGAACCCCTGGCCCAAATGATCTGAGGTCCCTTTCATCTCCCATCTTCTTGGGTTCTAAGATGGGGACGTGTGCTTTGCAAAGGAGATCTCATTGTCCAGCCCAATTCCATAGAACCAAAACATTCTGATGTTGGAAGGAACTATAAAGACTTTTTAATCTAACTTGCCCCTTTGACAGGGAAGGCACCCAGAAGAGAGAGGTGACTCAGCTAAGGTCACACAGTCTGTTAGTGGCAGAAGTAGGACATAGGTCTCCTAACTCCAGTGAGTTCAGATGACAAAGCAGAAACTCCAGAGAGTATGAGCCCACCAAGCCACGGAATCTGGTGTTTTCTTCCTCAGATGAGTTAACCTGTGTAAAGCGCTTTGCAAACCTTATGTTGCTTGTTGTTTGTTCTTGAAGAGGACTGTGACCTCAGGGAGGTGATGCCATGAGGTGCAAGTGAACTAGATTTAAGTGAGGGAGAGCTGTGCAAAGTCACCGGCCTCACTCTCTCCTCTGGAGCCCTCTGGGTCCAGTGGTCAGATATAGACCAGGACAACTAGAGGTAGCCTCTGCAAACCTTAAAGCACTATGTAAATGCTAATTATTGTTATTATGATTATTACTATAACTATTATTATTATTGCCCCTTTCTTGGTACCTATTCCACTGGCTGTTCCCAGTACCTAGAAAGCTCTCCCTGATCATTTCTGTCTTCTGGCGTCCCTGGCCTCGTTCAAGATTCGGCTGCACCTCACCTTCTGCCTTTTCCTGTCCTTCCCTCTGAAAATACCTCCCAATTACACTGGCATATACATGGTGTTTGTACATAGTTTCTATGCGTCTCCCATATGTCTTTTATGTACGTGGGGTTTTTTTGCATGTCTTCTCTTATTAAAATGGGGCATCCTTGCAGGCAGTCACCCTGTTACCGATTTTCTTTGTCTTCCAATGCTCAGTATAGTACCTGCCTGGCCCATGGTAAGCACTAATTAAAGGCTTGTAGACTGAGTGACTGGTTGTCTTCCATTCTTTCTAGAATAGCAAATAACTTCATTCATTCTGAGGTGTCCAAGGCTGACTGTGATCCTTCCTCTCAAGGATCCTGTTAGGAGGTAACTCTTCTGTCCCCAATAGACGGAAGTGCTAATGGTGGAATTTTAGGCATCAAATTAGGGAGAAGGCCTTCTCAGTGTCTGAGGCCCCAGCTGTATACACTCCTATGAGTAAGTCCAACCCTAAAGCCAGAGGCCCTGGAAGAAAGCTGGGGAATAGGAATTCTCTGGGTCCTCATTTCTCTTCTTCACATGCCTTGGAGGTGAAGTACTGACCTGGTCGGGCTCTCAGGAGGGGTTTGGGGAGGGACGCCGCTGATGACTTTATAGGGGCCCACTCAGGGAATTCTGTGTATTGTTCCCAGGGCCCAAGCGGAAGAAAGATACGGGAAAGAGCTGGTCCAGATTGCCCGGAAAGCAGGTGGACAAAGTGAGATCAAGTAAGATGTGCTCCTCCTATTTCTCTGTGTGTATGTGTGTGTGTGTGTGTGTGTGTGTGTGTGTTTGATGTTGTGCCTTTAAAATATGTTTTTAACAAAAGCTTCCTTTGAAACGAGTTCAGTAAAGTGGAAAGAATCTGAGCCTGGCTCTGCTATGTGTTAGCAATGTGACCTTGAACAAGTCAATTCACCACTTTGAGCCACAGTTTTCTCATCTGTAAAACGCAAATAATAATTCTTGAACTTCTTAATACTTTGCAAACCCATAAGGTGCTGAATATTAGGGATGAATATGATGGTTATTGAAGGCCTGAAGGCGAGGCTTCTTCTGTAACTGAATATTGAGGGGCAAGGCAAGGAGTGGGACATTGGGCAGGTGGAGGACATGGGGAATTCTAGAGTCCCTCGTGATGATGCAGACCTGATCCATTTTGGGCATGGGGCTTTATAGATTGAGAGCTGAAGGGAGGAGAAAATCAAATACGAAGACTGACTTTTTCTAGACCTGATTTTGGGGCTTTGAAGTTCCAACCCCTGGCCCGAGCACATTTCTGAAACAGAGAATTAGGGCCTTGAGGGAAATGGGAAAGGAGTATTTGGTTATAGGCATGGTAAACTTGCTGGTGTACCCCAAAAAGTAACAGCCCCGAATCAGCTGGGGGAAAGAAGCTTGGAGGTATTTTTGGAGCAATGGTGGGGGGGATGCATGGGGCCATCCCCTGAGTCTTCAGGACTCTTTTGAGGCTAATGACAGTCACTCCAGAAAAAAAATGAAACTCAGAATCTTGTAGAAAATGAATGTTGAAAACTGTCTCTGCATGTGGTTGGGAAGAAAAAATCCTATTTACCAATGATAGGCAGTCTACGTAACGCTACGTGGGCCACTCTCTTAGGGAACGGGCATGCCAACTTGGCCATGGGGGATTTGAACCGGAGGTCATGGCTTCTGCCATTGCTGCCTCCAGCCAGCTCCTCAATGAAATGACAAATAAACTGCTTAAGGATTGTGTTGTATTCCCATGTGCAGTTCAGGACTTGTAGAAGAAATACAATTTGTACTTGACTTACATTTGGACTAGATGAAATCTAAAGACCTTTCCGGCTCTGACATGTATGTAGCGCTTTAAGGTTTTCAAAGAGCTTTACAAACATCTCATTTGACTCTCATACAAAAATCCTGGGAGGTAGGTGCTATTATTATCCTCATTTTACAGATGGGGAGACTGAGACAAACAGAAGTTAAGCAATTTGCTCAGGGTCACACAGCAAGTCAATGTCGGGGGCTGAATTAAATTCCAATCTCCCTGACTCCAGACCCAGTGTGCCACTTCATTGCCTCTATAATGGGAAAGATATTGGATTTGGAGGCAGAAGACCCGGGGTTCAAGTTCCAGCTTTGCGTTTTACTATCTGTGTGACCTTAGGCAAGTCACTTAACTTGGCTCCAATTTCCCCATCTATAAAATAAGGTGAGAGACCAGGGGCTCTCTCTACCCTTTCAGTCTATGGATTGCCCCCACACACTGCTAAGGCATCAGTGGCCCCAAGTTTTTTTTTTATTTAGTGACAGGGAACCTTGCTCAGCTCCTTTTTCTTGTCTTTTTTTTTTCTTTTTCTTTTCCTTTTTCTTTTTTGCTCAGCTCCTTTTCTTGCTAAGGAGGGGCTGTGTTTAGCGCAGGGGAGGGGTCGATAATCTTCCATCCACAAGCAACAGGGCCAGATTGCTGCTGCCATTGACAGGGCTGTGATGAGCCATGCAGCCTACACAGCCCTGAATAATCAGAAATTGCGACGGCCTAATGAGGAAGCGTAGAAGGGAAGTCCCAGCTCACTGGAGCTCTTGTCACAGCCGCAACAAAACATCCCCAAGACCCCCAAGGTTCCCCCACCCTCTCTTCCTGTTCTGCCCGACTCCTTAATTGCATCCTGCTGCCCAGGCCAATTTATCACTCTCTTGCTCGGATTTTCAGCTGGATTTTTAATAGAGAGCCTGACCTCCCTCGTGGACGATTTCCCGGGCACTCATGCCACTAGCAGGGCCCATAAATCTACCGGGCGCCGGGGCCTCCCCTCTCTGTGACACGTCCCAGATTAAAGAGCCTTTAGGAAATCCATGAATTTGCTAGGAGTTGGACATTAACAACATTCTTTGGGGAGGGTTACTGAGGGCAAAGGGGGTGGGGAGAGGCTCAGAATCAGCTGGAGGGGAGATTGTGGGGTCTGAAAGCGTGGGTGGCACATTAACCTTAGGGGCTGTGTGGCCTTTTCTGTTCTTTGGCCTTTCCTATTAAACCTCATCACCCTCTGCTACACCTAGGCTCCTGGGCAGGGCACTGGGTTTGAATTCTGTCTCCAAAACTTTGGCAATCACTTAACTTCTAGGTGCCTCTGTTTCTTCATCTATTAAATGAAGGGATGGGAGCCAATAATCTCTAAGTCCTTTCCATTGTTGGCACGAGGGTCCACTCCCCTATTGTGCCACAGGAGAGGCAGCTTGGTGTATTAGGGAAAAGAACTGAAGTGGGAATTCTCAGACCTGGGTTCCAGTCTTGGCTTTGCTGCTAACTCACTATAAGATTGTCTGGGTCCCTTTTGGTCATATGGGGATAATAATTCTTATACTAAATGTCTCAAAAGGTTACTGGGACTCATTGCAATGATGCATGTCAAAGGACTATGTAAACGCAAGCTAATAGTCTGATAAACCCATGAATCTGTGATCTCTTCCATGAGTAGTTCTCTTCAGTAATGCAGATTGCAACCCCTCCATGCCTGCCCATCCTGGGTGACTCTTCTCTGTGTTCCTCCTTAAGCTGGCTATGTGCCATCCATTCATCATGACAGGGAATCTCCTTGATTTCTCAATACCACAATGATACTAGTGAAGCCAACAGGTGGTACATTTTCCATCCCCCACTCTCCCCAACCATGGGTCCAACCCATGTTCTTCTCCAATCATACACATTGGTGATGACATCCTGTAGTCCAGTTCTTTGTTTTGGTGCCTTCTTTGTTATGGGTGGTAGCCTGCTCACATCCATCTACCCTCCTCCTCTCCAGTGACTTCTGTGGGATACTCTTTAATTCGTCATAGACTGTGGTATCCCATGGCTCACAGTCATCCAACCATGGCAGGAGAACATTAAAAAGATGGCCTTGGTTTCAGAGAGGTCCAACTAATGTGCTATCCCTGCCCCCCCTCACCCCCTGCAGATAACATGGTTCCAGTTTAATACAACAAACGTTCCTTGAGTATCTACCATGTTCTAGGCACCCAGCATACAAAAAGACACACAAAAAAGCCATCAACTTTGAGGAGCATCATTCCCCTGGGGAAATATAATGTGTACAAGGAAGAAACAAAGGCAAGAACATATGAGGAGGAAAGACTACTACCAACTGGGGAGGTCAAGGAAAACTTCATGGAGAAGGGGAGCCTTGAAGGCAGGTGGAGATACTGAGAGTCAGAGATGAGTAAGGGGTATATTCCAGGAATGCAAATATGCATGGACATGGCAGTGTGTGTGTGTGTGTGTGTGTGTGTGTGTGTGTGTGTGTGAGAGAGAGAGAGAGAGAGAGAGAGAGAGGAAATGCTAGATCTGGGGAACAGAAGCCTGTTGTCCAAGGGGACAACTGTGAAATGAAACTGGAAAAGTTGAGAGGAACCAGATTTTGGAAAGACTTTAACATCCAGCTAGACTGAGGAGTTTGGATTGTGTCCCAGAGCCCATAGGGAGCCACTAAAAAATTCTGAGTTAGGGAGTGCTGTAGCCAAAGATGGCCTTTCAGAAGATTATTCTCGTATCTGTGAGGAAGGGCGAGCTTGGAACCAGAATAATGGGAGGCGCCATTGACTCACCCAGGCCATTGCTCAAGCCCTGACCATCTCTGGGGTTTGATTTCCTCTTCTCTACAATGAAGGATTTGGATGGGTTGGTCACCAAGATCCCTCCCACCTCTAACGTTCAATGGTCAGTGTTCCAGGGCACTCTCCCTATGACATTTTACATTCTGGGGTCCCTCTCAGCTGTGACATTCTAGATCTCTTCTAGCTCTGACATTCAATGCTCTAAGGTCCCTTCTGGCTCTGACATTCTCTGGCTCTATGACTCATTGCTCTCATGGGATGGAGACAGAGGTTAGGTCACCTACTGCTTGAGGTGCTGAAGCTACAGTTGTTTGTACATAGACACCAAATCCTTGGCTGGAAAAGGGTAATCTCTGTTTCTGTAGCAAGATTACCTCCTGGAAGCAGAAATAAGACCCATTTTGTCTGTTGTATACCAGAAACTAGTAAAAGGAACAGCTTTTAGTCTTGGATATACAATATATCCTCAGGAAGGACTCTGTCTACTGGCTACTACAATTCAATTCAATTCATTTGAGAGGCATTTTGATGAAGGAGAAAAGACATTAGATTTCTAGAAGTGACCGTGATAGGAAAACGAAAGGCATCAATTTTAATTTTAATTAGGGGCAGTAAGATTCCCACTCACTTAAACCAAGAGCACCTACTATGTGTAGGATAATGTAGGCAATTTAGAGAAAGGTAAGAAACAAAGATCCCTGGTCTCTAGGAGCTCCCAGTCTAATAATGGTAACTGGCATGTGGAGGGTGATTTCCTCACAGCAAACAAGCAGCAAACATTATGATTAAGCACCTACTATGTACTAGGTTTTCTGGACACAATGACAAAAATGAAGTAGCCCCTGCTCTCAGAGAGGTAGCTGAAGAGAGTGTTGGACCTGTAATCAAGAAGACCTGAGTTCAAATTCAGCCTCTGACACTTACTAGCTGTATGACCCTGGGCATGTTACTTTAACCTCTGTTTTCCTCAGTTTCCCCCACTGTAAATGGGGATAATGCAAGCACTTACCTCCCAGGGTTGTTGTGAGGATCAAATGAGAGAATAATTGTAAAGTACTTAGCATAGTGCCTGGCACATATTAGGTGCTATATAAATGCTAGCTATAAAATAAACTTGTCCCTGCTCTCAAAAAAGTAACTAGGTGACTTAGTGGTTAGAGTGCCAGGCCTGGAATCAGGAAGACCTGAGTTCAAATCTGGCTTCAGACACTCACTAGCTGGATGACCTTGGAAAAGTTTCTTAACTGCTGTCTGCCTCAGTTTCTCACCTGTAAAAGGGAGGCATTGATAGGTAGATAGCACCTACCTCCAGGGGGTGTTGGGAGAATCAAATCTGTAAAGTGCTTAGCACAGTATCTGGCACACAGTAGGCCTTTAATAAATGCGTGTTCCCTTCCCTCCCCTTCCTCAAAGAGCTTACCTTGTCTTGTGGGAGACAATGTGCAGGTAATAGAAATGGGATATGTAGCACCACTTGGCAGGGGGCAGCAGCCGGGGAGATCAGGAAAGGCTTCCCGTGATGCACGGCAGCTAGTGTAGATGGAGCAGAGGGGAGGGAGGCTCTGAGCCCCAAGGCAGCAGATTACAGAATCTCTTGGTACCTATTTCTGTTCATTATCTTTTCTCCTGTCAGTTATTTCCCCAGAGATCCTCTCAGCATCAGGGAAACGTCTCCTTTTTTTGCATGCCCTGAAGGCCTAGCACAGCTTTCAAGAGAAATGCACACGACCTGCTAGGGATAACCCAACCCTAAATGTGATTCTGACCATAAAGGGGCTCTGGAGGGGTGGGAGAGCCTTCCCGAGCTGTCTGCAAGCATTGGAAAGGCTTTCACTGTGGCAGAGGGATTAGGCTGTTCAACCACCACGACCAGAAGTGGCAAGGGAGAGGAGGGAGCGGGAGTTTCCTACTGGAGCTGTCCAAAGTAGAGGGGCCTCCCTCCTGACGTAGAGGTGCCCGTCACTGGGGCTATCCAGGCAGAAGCCAATGACCTATTGTTTCTAATGATAGACGGGAGAGCCTTTCTAAAGCTGGACTGCAGCAGTGGGGTCAGACTCAAATCAGACAGGACATGAGGACATAAGAATCCCTGCAGGTCACATAGTGACTTAGAAAACCACAAATTAGCATCATCTATGTTTTATTGTATTTTTGTTTATTTTGTTAAATATTTCCCTGCTACGTCTTTATCTGATTCTGGCCACAATTGGAGTACTATATGGGGCCAACAGGGTGCACACCTGATGCCTCTGCACTCATGACCTAAATAATACAGGGTGTACCTTAAGATTTGCAAAGCTCCTTCCCTAGGGACTTGAAATCAGAGGACCTTGGTTCAAATCTTCCTTTGAGACTCTCTGCATGACCTTGGGCAAGTCTTCTAAGCACTCTGGGCCTCAGTTTCCTCATCTGTAGAATGAGGGAGTTGGATTAGGTCACCTGTAAAGTCCTGTCCAGTTCTAAATCTACCCTCCTGTGATTGTTTTGTCTTCACAACCACCCTATAAACTAGGCATTGCAGAGTTTTATCATCTCCGTTGTACAAAAGATGAAGAAATGGTGGCTCAAAGGTTATGTGACTTGACCAGGGTCACGCAGCTAGTCGGTGTCAGGATTCTCTTCCCCTCATATCATGCTGAGATTGTGTCATCCTTTGATTTTGAGAGTCAGGGTTTAAGGACTGATGTGGGAAGAGCCCTGGACCTGGGCTAGTCACTGTGGAATGTGAGAGCTGGAATAGATCTTTGAGGTCCCTGCCAGGTCCAGCATTCTGTGGTTCTGTGAGGAATGCAAGTATTTGGGGAGGAAGAGAGAGGCAGACAGGAGGCTGGGAGAGGTTGGACACAGTCCCGAGATGAAGTTCAGTGCAGGGTCAGGTAGGTAGGACATGGCCAAAATGATTATTTGCTAATGCTAATTAATAAAAAATGAGAATGGTAATAACTATCATTTAAGTAGTAAGCCTTAGGGTTTGCCAAACACTTTTACAAATATCTCATTTTATCCTCACAACAACCCTAGGAGTTAAAATGGGGACAACAACCCCAAACTCTGTGAGCCTCAGTTTCCTCATCTGTAAAATGGAGACAGCACCTATCCGCCAAGCATTTTGCCCACTGCAGGGAAGAGAGATTGAGCTGGGGCGGTATGTAGCCTGTGGCCCTCCAAACAAGTGAGTGGCTCCAGCGAGTTAGTGGGGCCTTTCCTGCTGCTGGGCGGGGAGAGGCCTGTGGGATGAGGAGGGGAACAGAGAAGGCCTGGAAAGTGAACTGACCTTGGCTTACCCTTTGGGACACTAGGGCCTTGTCTTAAGTTCAGCAGGACAGTAAGACTGCTGGGACTGGGAAAAAGGCAAGGGAGGAGACCGTCTGTGCCCTTTCTGAAAGTTGGAGTGCGCCTTCTGTGCCTGAGGGATGGGAGGGGTCCTGGATGTGGCCACCAGGCAGGGGATGTGCAGAGGGGCTGGGGTCTGTGCCCCCGTGAGACCCCAGAGCCAGGATATCACAGCTTAGGAGATGGGGCAGGACGCACAGCCAACGGTCGTGGGTTTGAATCCAGCTCTGCCGCCTGCTCTGCACCCATTCGACCTTGGGCAAAGGACTTTCCCTCTGTGGGTCTCACTTGTGTCATCTGTAAAACGAAGGGACAGGACTAGATCATCTGAAAGGTCCTTGTCATCTCTCCCTGGCTCCCCATCCCCGTTCTGCCTCTGTTCTCCAGTGAGTCACCTCTATGCTCGTCTCCTTATGGAAGATAATGGTCCTACCTCCCTAGACAGTTTCCACTTGGCTGTTTGGCCCTGAGATGTTGCCTCCATTTCACGGCCTCAGTTTCCCTGTTCTGGATAGGGGATGTGTAAACTAAAACAGCCTACTACCACCATGACAGCTAAAGACCTGAAGGAAGAAACGGCCTAGCCCCTCTTTGGGGGGAAGAGCTCCTGCTCACACAAATGCTCACACTTGTTCTCATTCTGCGCTTGTTCAATAACCAGAGCCTTATTAGGCCCCTTCTGTATACGAGGCACTGTGCTAGGTGCTAGAAATCCCGAGCTAAGAAACGAGGCTGTCTTGGCCCTCGGAGAGCTTACATTCTACTGGGGACAGGAGCTGGAATCCCAGAATGCAAAGAGGGAGTGATGAAAAAATGTGGGAAAATGTGAGGTGGGAGAGAGGACCGACAACAGGGCAAATCAGGGAAAGCTTCATGGGGGAGGCAGCCCTGGAGGAAGGCAAAGGTTCAGATACCAAGAGGAGAAGGAAGCATATTGTAGACCAGACGGGTGAGGATTGATTGAAAAGACACATGAATGAGTGTGTGTGTGTGTGTGTGTGTGTGTGTGTGTGTGGGGCGGCCCCTCCCAGCCCCAGCAGCCTGGCTGGGACTGAGCACACTTGATGTTGGGGGGCTTCTCCTTCCTCTAAAAAGGGGAACCTCCACTTGGCTGAGAAAGAGCGGGTGGGGAACTCACTGGCTACATTTTTCCTGTCTTTGGCTGAGGACAAAATGGCGATGCCCATTTTAGTGAATGAAGAAAACAGAATAACAGAGAAATGGAGTGTGGCTTGTCAGATACTTCATCTAATTTAACAAGTACCTACTGTGCGCCAGCCAGGCGCTGTTCTGGCTGCCGAGGATGCAGTTACAAAAGTGTGACGGTCCCGGCCCTCGAGAAGCTGACGTCTTACCGGAATGAATCCAGGGCTTTTCCTTGCTACGTTCCTGACATCATGAAATTTTAGGAAAGTCATTGCACGACTTTCCTCATCTGCAAAATGGGAGAAAGCATGTTACCATCAAATAACATCCAATTAATCGCCCAGTAATTTGACTCCCTTCTTGGTATGATGCCAGCCTTGTGCATAGGAGGCTCTTTAAAATGATTTAAACCTTAAAGGAAGAGACAGGCATCAACAAGGAGTCATTCACAGGATGACAGCCCTTAAGGGCCGCCATAGAGAACCTCCAGCCAATCTATCCTTTCAGTGTACCTGCTCGTCCTGCCCCCCCCCCCAGAAGAATGCAAGTTTCTTGAGGGCAGGACCCATCTGCTTAGAGCCTGCATGTAGGAGACATCCCATAAATGCTTGGTGAATAGAATTCAGTTCAGTTGAATTCCCCACGCTGATGAAAGGTCCAGATACTAAACAAATAAAAAAAAAAAATCCTCCAAATTCCTTGTGCCTTGGCCGGTGCTATGCTCTGGCCCTGAATGTGTTTGTTGAGTTGAATTGGGAAAAGTGGTTTTCCGATAATCATAGATCATCAAAACCGCTGGGCACCTCAGCACTCATCTGGCCCAACCCACTTTCAGAAGTGGAAACTGAGTCTTAGAACGGGAAAGTGAAGTCACGCAGTGATGAAGCATTGGCCCTCTGCTTCCCCATCCCTCACACCAAACCATTTTCAATGACTGTAAAGTTGGCTCCCTCCTTCGTCTACATCCAACACCCACCCGAGGTCCATGGGTTGGACGGAGCTCCTTCTGAGGGGAGCAGGGGATCTGCAGAGCTCTGCCCAGGCCCTCCAGGGGCCCCTCGGCGCCTTCCTCATCATGTTCTTTGGGGACTCAGCTTCCTGTGGGGGAGCTGAGGCCGTTGCCAACCAGAAAGAGAAACAAACAGTCAGAGGCCCGAGTTTTCCCCCCTGAGTCACCCTTACACAGCTGAAGGAAAGAAGTCAGTGGTTTTCCGGTTGGAAGATGTATCTTTTTCTTCTGTATTCTCTCCTTCACGGATCCTCGGAGCCCGGAAACAATGAAAACCCTGTCTCTGGGTCACAGTAATAATAATAATAACCAGCATTTATATAGCACCTGCTGAGTGCCAGGCATTGTGCTAAGCGCTTTACAAATATCTCATTTGGTCCTCACAACAACCCTGGAGGTAGGTGTTGTTATTATCCCCATTTTATAGATGAGAAAGCTGAGGCAAACAGGATGAGTGACTTGCCCAGGGTCACCGAGCTAGTAAGTGTCTGAGGCTAGATTTGAACTCAGGCCTTCCTGACTCCAAGGCCAGCATTCTATCCACTGTGCTACCAGCTGCCTCAGTTATGGGTAAGGGACCTTGCTAGCCAGGGCCTGAGCTTCTGAACTGGAGAGCAGATAGGGAGGGGGGATGCTCCTTGTCTGAGCTTTGACAAATTCTAATTCCTACTGGAAGGAGATTGATATTCTAAAGAGCCTTAAGAAATACACCAGGGGATGGAACATAAATTTGGAGTTGGAAGGGACCTTGGACATCACCCCGCCCCAACCCCTCATTTTACATATGAGGAAACTGAGGCAAGGAGAGGTTGACATGCTCAGGGTCACATAGTAAGTATTTGGGGTAGGATCTGAACCCAGATCATCCCAAGCCCAAGTCTGCCCTGGGCTAATTCCAGGTTTGGCACCTGCTGACTGCAGTCTTCAGGAAACTGTAGCAATGGAATGAGCGCTGGGTCTGGAGGACGAGGAGGAGCTGAGCATCTTCCTGGACAGGAAGGACCTTGAGAATGGGGAGAGAGCCCTAAGTCCATGTCCTAGGAGGGTCAGTGGAAACAAGGGGGGAGATTTAGCCCGGGGGGGGGGGGGGGGGGCAGGGAATGGGCCTTCAGGAGCTCTGCCAGCCCGAGGCTAGAGTGCTTACGTGGTGAAGGGTTGTCCTCAGGCAGCAGAATTCAGCTCCTTCTCCTCAGCCCCAAAGGGCAGAACCAAAGTTTCAGGGAGGCCATTCAGGCTGGAGTCATGGAGTGATGTGAGCTCTACCCCCGCGGAATCGGCTGCCTCCGGAGGCTGCAAAGGGGGTGCCATTCAGGTGCGATTGGGCTAGATGGCTTCTGAGGGCTTGGGGGCCACCCCAGCCGCTTCTAACCCCCATCCTGCTGCCCCCTGGGTGGAATTAAGCTGGGCCCTTTCTCTCCTTGGGCCTAAGTTTCCTCATTTGTAAAATGAGGGTAAACCCACTGGCGCAGCCTCTCTCTCAGGCTTATTTATTTATTTCCTTGTCAAATGCTTTATTAAGGCCTGGCATTCCCATGACCTGCCAGCCAGGGAAGATTGTAAACCAAGACAATGAAGTTGGCCCGACACGACATAATTTTTTTTCTGCTCCCAACTGAAATGATCTTTTAATATTCAGAATCACTTCTTCATTCCCCCTCACACTTAATAGTATTTTTATTTTTTCCAACTACATGTATAGTTTTCAACATTCACTTTTGTAAGATTTTGAGTTCCAAATTTTTTTCTCCTTCCCTCCCCCCTCCCCATGTGCTCTATGTGTGCTCTACGTGTGCTCTACATGTGCAATCCTATTGAACGTATTTCCACATTAGTCCTGCTGTGAAGGAAGAATTCAAACAAAAGGAAAAAACCACGAGAAAGAAAAAAAAAAGCAAACAGTCTGCTTCCGTCTGCATTCAGACTCCAGAGTTCTTTGTCTGGGTGTGGATAGCATTTTCCATCATGAGTCTTTTGGAGATGTCTTAGATCCTTGTACTGCTGAGAAAGGTTGTCTATCTATCAATATTAGTCATCGCACAACATGGCTGTTACTGCGTCCGTTCTCCTGGTTCTGCTCACTTCTCTCAGCATCAAACCATACAAGTCTTCCGGTTTTTCTGAAGTCTGCCTGTTCATCTTTTCTTATAGCACAAAAGTATTCCTTTACGTTCACATACCACAACTTGTTCAGCCATTCCCCAGTTGATGGGCATCCCCTCAATTTCCAATTCTTTGCCACCACAGAAAGAGCTGCTATAAATATTTTTGTAGATGTGGGTCCTTTTCCCATTTTTATGATCTCTTTGGGATACAGCCCTAGAAGTGCTATTGCTGGGTCAAAGGGTATGCACAGTTTTGTAGCCCTTTGGGCATAGTTCCAAATTGCTCTCCAAAATAGTTGGGTCAGTTGACAACTCCACCAGCAAAGCATTAGTGTTCCAATTTTCCCATATCTTCTTCAATATTTATCATTTTCCTTTTTTGTCATCTTAGTCAATCTGATAGGTATGAAGTGGTACCTCAGAGTTGTTTTAATTTGTATTTCTCTAACAAGTGATTTAGAGCATTTTTATACGACTGTAAGTAGTTTTAATTTCTTCATCTGAAAACTGCCTGTTCATATCCTTTACTCATTTATCATTTGGGAAATGACTTGTATTCTTATAAATTTGACTCAGTTCTCTATATATTTGAGAAATGAGGCTTTATCAGAGACATTCCCAGGCTTATTTAGAGGAAAAGGTTCTAAAATGTGGGGATGTGAGCTGACAGAGGTGATAAGGAGTGTGAGTAAAGAAAAACTTTTGAAGGGAAATTGGACACAGATCAAAGCATCTCAGACATGATTGTGGAGACCAAATGAAAAGAAGATTTCGTTGACCCATAACTTCCCATGAGCAAAGGGATGGTACACTGTAGGCTGCACTGATGGGGCATGGGGGGGGGAGAAGGAGAGAGAGAGAGATAAAGACAGCAGGAGAGACAGAGAGGGACAAAGACATACAGAGACAGAGAGAAAGAGAGAGGAGGGACAGAGACACAGAGACAGAGAAAGACAAAGACCTAGAGAACAAGAGAGACAAAGACATAGAGGGAGAGAGAGAGAGAGAGAGAGAGAGAGAGAGAGAGAAAGACATAGAAAACAAGAGAGACAAAGATGGAGAGAGAGAGAGAAGAAAGAGGGAGGGAAGGAGAGAGAGAGAGATCTTCCCTGGATTCTGCTCAATCCCATAATTGTTTACTGAAGATCTACCTTGGGCCCACCCTTGATGGACCCTGGGAAGGAGACAGGAGAGCCAGACAAGGTCTGTGTCCTGAGGCAGCTCAGAATCTTTTCCAGGAAATAAGATTAGCATGTGATAAACATTTAAAAAATAGTTTAGGACAGTGTGAAATTACTCAGGTGGGAGTAGGGGAAGCCTGGATGGCTGCAAAACCCCCCTGGAATGGGAGCAAGGAGGCCTGGGTTTGAGAGCCAGCTCTGTCATTAACTTATTTCTTGACTATGGACAAATTAATTTTTCCCTCTGTGGGCCTCAGTTTTTCCACTTGTAAAATGAGGGTGATGGACTCAATGATTTCTCACGTCCCTTTTAGCTCTAATATCTCATATTTTGTGTTTGAAGTTTCCTTCCAGCTCTGACATCCTGTGTACTAAGGTTTTCCAGACTTAATTTCTATGTTCTAAGGCCATCCAGCTCTGACATTTGATGTCATCTCTGATGTTCTCCGTTCCAAGGCCCATTCATCTCTAACTTTTCGTGTTCTAAGGGTCCTGCCAGTTCCGACATTCTGTGTTCTATCTTCTAAGATCTTCTCTGTCCCAGACATTCTGTGTGCTGATTCCTAAGGTCTCTCTGCACTCTGACATCCTGTGATCTGGCTAGTCAGCCAAGTTGGGAAGGCCCCAATATGGTCTCCTTGATGGGCTGCGTCCAAGGTCCTGCAGAGTAAGTGCAGAGGGGTTTATCACCAGAGGGTTGGCCCCCAGGGCTGGGCTGGAGGGGCAACATGGCACTGGTCTTCACGTCAGAGGACCTGGGGTCAAACGTTGGCTTTGTTACTACTCTGTGACTTTGGACAGGTCACTCAAACTCTGTAGGCCTCAGTTTCCCTATCTATAAATGGATGGGATTGGGTTGGATGGTGTCTAAGACACCTTCTTACCCTTTGAATGAGTCTATGAAAAACATTTCAGCTGCAATAACTCATGAAGAGATGCTCTTGGCTTGGATCAATGAGACAATCCATCAAGGTTGACCATGACCATGCAGATGGAGCATGCCTCCGTGCTAGACCAGACCTCAAAGGCCACTGGTCCAACCCCCTCATTTTACATTTGAGGAAACTGAGGCCCAGAGATCTTAAGTGAGTCACCCAATAACAAGTAACAGAAACAGGATTTGAATCTGGGTCCTTTGCCTCTCAAGTCAGTCTGGTGAAGCTTATGGACTCCTCAGAATAGTTTTTAAAATTTTTTAAGTTGATAATTAAAAAAGTGCTAAATGGTATTTAAATGTTAGTGAAAATAAAGATGTAATTTTCCCATCCAAATTCATGGATCATCTGAAATCTATCAATGGATGCCTTTGAGGTCCTTGGACTCCAGGTTAAGAAGTCCTAATGTAGACCAACTTCCTCATTTTTCAGAGAAGGAAACTGAGGCCAAGAGGAGTGATTTGTTCAGGTCACAAAATAAGTTAGTGCCAAATCCAGGACCAGGACCCAGGCCAGAGCTCTGTCCGCTGCAGCCAGGTTGAATGACCTTGAGACAATGGAATCCAAGAGAGAACCTTAGAGTCACCTAATCCAACCCCTTTATTTCCGAGAGAAAACAGAGGCCCAGAGTGGTTAAATCACCTTCATTCTTGGGGTCTTAGTTACTCTTCCCCCAACCCCATCCATGTTGCTGGGAAGATGAAATGAAATAATAGGTATAAAGGTGGAATTATTAGATTTTAGGAAAATGTAACCCCTCAGATCCCCCTCTCTTGTGTGGAAGGAAAAAGGAATCCATACTTCTTCCTCCAACCTCTCATCTTCAACCCCACGCCACCATATACACACATCTTTCTCAGTCACCTGGGAGCTCCCAGCCTCTGGAACTATCAGGGAATGGGACCGTTTGGTGCATTGGCCACTAGAGGGCACGATCCCCCTTCGATATTACTGAGGGGTTACCCTTGCTGCAAAGCTGGCCAGGGCTTTAGTCTTTGCTGTGAAAAGGGGGCAGTCTCACCCCCTTGGGACCATCCACATTTCCTGGGGAGGGAGGACAAATCCCTGTGAATAAGAGAAGACATTTTCTAAGCTGACAGCCACCTGAGAACAAGTTGAGAAACGGAGGACGTTGAGTCATGAAGAGAAGGGCACGAGGACCCTAAGGTGCTCGGGAGGGCTTTGGATCCTGGTTCTCTGGCTCCAAAGCCAAAGCCCTTCCCATTGTACCACACTGCCCAGCAGGGAGGGGAACTTTGGGCAAGACATTTGGTGGATGGAAGGAGAATTTTTTTTTTTCACTTTAACTAAAGGCTCCCTTTGAATTCACCAAAATTGGCCAGGACTAGTCATGCTAAATGAAGTCCTAGGACCCGAGTAGCAGAAGGGACGCTGTTACCACGTCTGCTTGGCCACCAGATCTCAAGAAAACACTTGCTGTTTCTTTTTTTTTTTGGTGAGGCAACTGGGGTTAAGTGACTTGCCTAGGATCACATAGCTAGTGTTAAGTGTCTGCGGTTGGATTTGAACTCAGGTCCTCCTGACTCCAAGGCCGGAACTCTATGCACTGCGCCACCTAGCTGCCCCTAAAACACTTGATATTTCCAAGCAGACTGATACCACTACTTCCCCCGCCCCTCATCGGAGCCAGACTGGGAAGCCCGACTTAGCAGGAAACTGATACGCTTCCTACCCCACCGCACAGGAACCCAAGGTGAAAGTTAGGGACGGACTGATCCCTGAACCCTTGAACCTAGAAGGCAGAACAAGAATGACAGGTGGGAACCACCGAGAGGCTGATTTGGGCTTCCCCAATGCTGGAGCTGTCCAAAAGGGTGGTGGGCTGCCTCGGGAGGTTACAACAACTGATATCTATGTAGCGCTGGGAGGCTGGCAAAGGGCTTCAATCACCTGATCTCATCTGAGCTTCACAACGACCTTGGGGTAGATGACGGAACTCGAGCTCGGAAGGTGAATGACTTGTCCAGGGCCACGCAGCTAATCATTAGCCCCAGAGGTAGAGAAGCGCCTGATACGGCAAGTTCCCTCTCCCCGAAGGTCTTCAAGCAAAGGTAGCATGACCTGCGGTCAGGGACAGTGAAGTTTTGACTGCAAACGGCTGCTGAGGTCATTCCTACCTCTGAGATTCGGTCATTCTGGGGTGCTGCAGGGAGTCCAGCGGGGAGCCAATTGCTGGAGTCTGGGGAGGGACAAGGGGGAGGCATGAGCCAGGGCGAAGGCCTTTGGGGCGCAGAGGAGAGGGTTCTTCCGGTGAGGTGATTCCACCTCTCACTAGGATGCAGTGAGGCTGTACCGCTCATGGTGGGGGTACAGCAGGGAGTCTTAACCTTTTTTGTGCTATGGGCCCCCATGGCAGTCTGGACCTCTTCTCAGAGTGTTTTTAAATTCATAAAATAAACAGGATTACATAGGAAACCAGTTATACTGAACCATAGTTATCAAAGTATCAAAAAAACAAGATTGCAGCCCAGGTTAAGAACTTCTGAGAGGTCCTGGAGGAGTCCCGTCCTAATTCTGACAGTGCCAAGCCCCTCCTCTCTCCTTGCCTCCGTTTCTGAGTGTCCCCTCCTCCCAGGTGGCAGCCTCTGAAGCTGGGGCCCTCTCCGTCCCTCCTGCCTCCACGGAAGGCATCCCTCTGCCTCTCACCTGAGGGAATGCTTCCTGCCGCTCTCTGGCATAAAGCTTCCATCATTGCTCTGCCTCGCCCACACCCAGGGAGCTTTCTGAACCGAATTCAGGAGGCTGCCCTGTGCCTCCCTGCCTTGCAAGGGCTCCTAGCGCAGCCCTGAGGTCAGTCTGTGGCTGAATACCCAGAATTCCCTCTCTGCTCATCCTGCCCCCATGCCCTGCATTACTTGGGACTCTGTCTCCAATTCATCCCGGATCACTGGGCTTGGGGCACGCCTGTGGCTCTGTGTGAGTAGATGTGTCTGTCTCTCTGAGTGTGAATGTGTGTACATGGTGTTGAGGGGTGAGGGGGTTGGAGACGCTGAAGGCATTTTTGTTTTAAAAAATGCACTGAACTAGATGGACCCTGTGGTCCTTTCCAATGGCCAGTGAGTGGCTGGGTCAGGATTTGAACCCAGGATCTCTCCCTCCAAGTGGAGCCTTCTTTCCTCTACATAGTACTTGATCTCCCTCAGGGCCCCAGGCATTGGCTCCCAGGGGTTTTCTCTGCCTGGGGTTTTCCTCCCACCCTTCCTGGGAGATCCATAGTTACAGAGGGAGAGTTTTGGGCGAGCTGAAAGCTCTTGGGAGGAGGCATCTCTAAATGGCCAGGACTTCAGTCTGATGGGCCGAGAGCAGTGGGTGTGACATCCCAGAGGGTAACTGGGCATTCCTTTTCCCATGGCCTGAGCGGTGAGCCCAGGTAAGGAGGAGGTGAGCCAGGATGCACAGGGAAGAAAAAACTACATCAGTGATGGTCCTCCTGGACTCAGACGTTTCCAGAGAGGTATACACGTGTGCACACACCCAGATAACCCAGATTCATTACCACAGATACATTAGCACGTGCTCCTTTCACAGTCCAAACACATATACATCCAGACACACTAATGTGCACAAACACAGACTCACACTTATACGCAGGCATGCACTCAGAGAGAGGCATACATGTGTGTGCATGCCATACCCATGTGCAGAACACAGAGAGATACATATGTACAGAGATGCACATGTATAGACATGTAACCACAAAAGGGTACATATGGGCGCACATGTTTGGAGACTCCAACACACATGCCCATGCATGTGGTTCATGCTTATAGACATGCTTCTACATGTGTGTTAAAAGGTCATGCCATAACACATGTGCATGTGTTTGGGGACCTACACGCATAGGCAGACACATTCACTTACCCACCCATTTATAACACACAAACACACATTGCTCCCAGCACCACTGGCGAGAGCCCCTGGGTCCCAGCTTAGAGGGGCTGGCTGGGTGCTGGGCAGTGCCTGCTGCCCACCCGGGTCTGCCCTGGGGCACTGCTCTGCCCCTTCTCATCCCCCTCCCAAGCCGGGAGGATGTTAACTTCCCAGCTCAACAGACAGACAAAAGATAATTGAGGGGTTTGCATTTTCTTCTCCAGCTCATTTTACAGATAAAGAAACTGAGGCAAACAGGGTTAAGTGACTTGCCCAGGATCACATAGCTAATGTCTGAGGTTGGATTTGAACCCAGTACTCTATGCATTATGGCGCCACCTAGTGCCCACTTACACACATCAGCCCTTCAGATAGTAGAAGGCCCACATCTTGTCCCCTCTTTCCTCACTCCTCCTCTTCAAGTCTCTCTGCTCTAAACATCCCCAAATCTTCCAACTAACCCCCCTATACCACCTCCTGGCACCCTGGATGTACCCCCGCTTGACAATGTCATTTCTAAAATGGGATGGATGCTGAGGACTGAACTCGGCTCTCTAGGGGTGGTGTGACTGGAGCAGAGGAAGTGGGACTGTCCCCTCCTTCATCTCGGACACTCTGCTTCTCTCCACGCAGCCCTGGGCTGCCGTGCCACGCTGAGCTTGGGGTCCACTAGGACCCTCAGCAAGCAGGCCTGAGAGATTGGATTGTTTGGAAACCAGCACGGTAGCTGTGTCTCCAGCGCCTTCTCCCCAGTGACCTGTTGGTGTTTTCTTTTGCAGCACGCTGAAGGCCTCCTTTGAAATCCTGAAACAACGTAAGTCTTTCTGCCGCTTTCTCCCTTCATCTACTTAATTTCACGGTTCCCCAGACAGACAAAAGCACTTTGATGGAAATCAGGAAGCGGGACCCAAACCTATTCTCAGGCCACCCATCCAAAGTCTGGCTTTTGGCAAAGCTGGTGCCAAGGGCTCCTCGGGCTGGGGCCCTCCTCAGGCATGCCACCCTCAGGGGCTGGGGGCAGACCCCACCTCTGGCAGCTTCTGCCTGGCCATCAGAGTTGGTTGTTTCTTTCCCTCTATAGCCTGGGGTTATGGAGAGAGGGTCATGGTGCAACAGAAACGATGCGGGGCTCCCAGGTTAGGGGGCCTAAATTCAAATGTAGACTACTTAGCTACTCAGCACCTGCGTGACCTTGGTCAGCAGCAAAAATGAAGAGGTCAGACTAGATCATAGAATTTAGAGCTGGGACGGACCAGGCCTCTTATTTTACAGATGAGGAAACTGAGGCCCAGAGAGGTTGTAATTGGCAGAAACAGAAGTCAGACCCAGGAGGTTTTGACTCAAGATCCACTGCTCTAAGACACAAGGCTGTCTCACTTCCTCTTTCAAGGCCTCAGTTTCCCCATCTGTAAAATGGAGGAGGGCTGGCTTAGAGGGTGTCCAAGGATCTTCCCAGCCTTGGCATTCTGTGATTCTTTAAGGAAACAGTAATGGAGACTGTCTTATGGACCCAGACTGAAGGGTCTCAGGGAAAGGGAAAGGGGGAGGGGGCTGCTGAGGCCAGCTACAGATGCCAAAGGTCTGTTGTGATCCTTTTAAGCCTCTGCTCTGCCCTAGAAATTGAAAACGTGGGAAACTCTCACATCCAGCTGGCGGTCATGCTGAAGGATGAGCTCAAGAGCATTGAAGAGTTCCGAGAAAGGCAGAAGGAACAGAGGAAAAAGGTGAGGCCGCTGCGTCAGCCCGCTGCACGCGGGCACCCCTGCCCTGCCCTGCCCCAGCTCTGGGACTGACTGTGCGGTATGAAGAGGGGAGCTGGGCACAGAAAGGGGAGGGAGACTAGGATGAGGACCGCATCTCACCTGCAGGGACGGCTGTCCAAGAATACATGCAATCATTATCATTAATAACAATAATAATAGCATGGTTATTGTTATGAGACAGCGCCCCCCCCCCCAGATCATCCTACCTGATTAACTGCCCAGCTCATCAGACAGACAAAAGCCACTTGACAGAACCCCAAAGCAGAGACCCGGCTCCATTCTCTGCCTGGCTGCTAAGCATTTATCTAGTGCCTTCTGTGTCCAGGAACTATCAGCCAGCCTGCAACGCCACAAGCAATTACTAAGCACCTACTATGCACCGGGCAAAGAAGTGCTGAACTCAAAGAAAGGCAGAAACGTGTAGTCTGGCTTCAAGGAATTTCTATTTGATTGTGGGGGAAAAAACATAAGTAAATGCTGGTGTGTATAGAGTCACAGACTATGGGTGTGCCTCAGAAGCCCAGGGATGGGGGGCGGCTAGGTGGCGCAGTGGATAGAGCACTGGCCCTGGAGTCAGGAGTACCTGAGTTCAAATCCAGCCTCAGACACATAACACTAGCTGTGTGACCCTGGGCAAGTCACTTAACCCCACTGCTTAGCAAAAAAAAAGGGGGGGGCAGCTAGGTGGTGCAGTGGATAGAGCAGTGGCCCTGGAGTCAGGAGGATCTGAGTTCAAATTCAGCTTCAGACACATAACACTCACTAGCTGTGTGACCCTGGCCAAGTCACTTAACCCCATTGCTTAGCAAAAAAAAAGGGGGGGGCAGCTAGGTGGCACAGTGGATAGAGCACCGGCCCTGGAGTCAGGAGGACCTGAGTTCAAATCTGGCCTCAGACACATAACACTCACTAGCTGTGTGACCCTGGGCAAGTCACTTAATCCCGTTGCCTAGTTAAAGAAATAAAAAAAAGCCCAAGGATGGAGGGCATTGGGCAAATGACCACAGTGGCTTCAGGTGGCTGACTGTGAGAGTCGCGGCCTGAGCTGGGCAGATTGCTTGTTGAGGCTGTGATTTCATGGGTGCAGGCTGAGGGTCCGGCTCACCCCTGAGTTCAGAGCACCCAGAGAACCTTCTGGAGTCTAAGCCAACTTGGTGATGAGTGGCTCCAGATGGGTCCAGGCCGGTCCTCGGGGGACCAGCGTGAGACCGACCATCCGCTGCCGGGCCTCCACCCAAACCCTTCCCTGTCCCGATGCCCCATCCTTCAAGAGCCCCGAGTGAGTTGGTCACCGCCATGAGGCCCCAGGAGAAAGCCTGTGGAGCAGAATTCACGATGGACGGCATTCCTATGGTGGCTTATGATTACAGAGCACCTCAAAATAAATGAGCACATTTGAAAGAAGGTGGTGGGGCTCTGACATGGGTTCAAATCCTGCCTTGGCTACTCTCTATCCTTGTGACTTTGGGTCACAGGTCTATTCCTCTACGAGCCTCAGTTCCCTCTTCGTGTAAAATGAGTGGGTGGGGTTGTGTGGATCCTGAGGGCCCGTCCTGCTCTGAAGCCGAGACTGAATAACCCCGCGCGGCAATCCTAATGAGGCAGCTGGTACAAATATTACTTGCATGCCCATTTTGCAGATGATGAGATTGAGGCTCAGAGAGGGCCACGGGGCTGTGGTCTGTCTGTGAGGGGCTCACATAAGCTTTTAAGGAAGAGTCACCCATTGGATAGATCAGCACCAGCCCCACCCAGTTGTTGAGACTGGCTTCCTCACCAGGACGGCGGGGTCAAGTCGAACAATCCCTGACTTTGGGCGTCCCCCAGGATGGCGCTGACTATGGAAAGTGAAGCCCGGGCTGCAAAGGGATGGCTAATGCAACCTAATACTTCTGACCCAGACAGGAGAGGATGAAAATCATCCAGGAGAAAAATTGGTTTATAAAATGTCTGGAATATTAAAGCAGGACACACACACACACACACACACACACACACACACACACACATGCACACACTCAACACAACTGAAATGAAGAGAAAAAAATATCAGGGCTCACTGGCATCCAATTATTTACCCGGGCATGAGAGGGAGTGTGGTGCAATGGGTAGAACGCTTGATTTGGAGTCAGAAGAACTGGGCTCAAATCTTGTCCCTGCCTCTGATGTATCACTTGGGCAACCCAAGTCCTAAGCAGCCGCTTAGGTTGTAAGCTGCATCTGTAAGTTGAGGCAGGAACTTACTGTATTACATTAACTTGCTGAGCCCTGGTTTTCTCATCTGTGAGCTGGGTACATGAACACCTCCAGTCTGGCCCTGCCTCACTCGGTTGTTGGGATACTGTGGAGCCACGTCAGCTGGGGCCCCAAGGCAACAGTGTGAGCAGGCTGGGTGCCCCCTGTACCCAGAAACTAGCCTGAGCTCCCTGGTCAGGCCCTGGGAGACCCTCAGCCAGCCAGCTGCCGATGGAGGGAGGCCATGGCTTTGGGGTCTGCGGGGTTTTCTCAAGAATTTATTTATTTTAGATTTCTATGCTTGGAGAGAAAAAGAAGGGGTCTGAGTGAAGCCCAGAGGCCAGGCACCACAGATACCACACAAACCCCCTCCCTCCCAGGTGAGGGTCAGGGGGAGGGCAGGGGAGGACGGACCAGAAGCCGGGGCTCCCATCCAGGATTTCCCACCAGTGACTGAACTGTTCAGCTCACTGTGGCTGAGGCCGGCCTTTGGGCTCGGTTTTAAAAACTGTGGGTGAGCCCTGCTGCAGAAATATCGATGGGGCCTCATCAGGAGCAACAGTTTCTGGGAGACAGTACAATGAGACCAAGAAGGAATGACGATCAAATGGACCTTAGACTGTCAGAGCTAGGAGGGACCTTAGAACATAGAACCCAGACTGTCAGAGCTGGGAAGGGCCTTGGAACCTAGAACTCAGACTATCAGAGCTGAGGAGGGCCTCAGAACCTAGAACCCAGACTTCCAGAGCTGGGAAGGGCCTTGGAACCTAGAACTCAGGCTGTCAGAGCTAGGAGGGACCTTAGAACATAGACTCCAGATTGTCAGAGCTAGAAAAGACCTTAAAACCTAGAACCCAGACTGTTAGAGCTGAGGAGGGCCTCAGAACCTAGAACCCAGAACCCAGACTGTCAGAGCTAGGAGGGACCTTAGAACATAGAACCCAGATTGTCAGAGCTGGGAAGGGCCTTGGAACCTAGAACTCAGACTATCAGAGCTGAGGAGGGCCTTAGAACCTAGAACCCAGACTGTCAGAGCTAGGAGGGACCTTAGAACATAGAACCCAGACTGTCAGAGCCAGAAAAGACCTTAGAACCTAGAACCCAGACTGTCAGAGCTGAGGAGGGACCTTAGAACCTAGAATTCAGACTGTCAGAGCTAGGAGGGACCTTAGAACATAGAATCCAGGCTGTCAGGGCTAGAAAGGACCTTAGAACCTAGAACCCAGACTGTCAGAGTTGGGAAGGGCCTTACAACACGGAACAAAGGATTGCAACCATAAGCCTGCATTAAGCGTCTACTGTGTACCAGGCACTGTGCTAGGCACCTTGAGGACAAAAATGAAACAGCCCCCAAAAGATGTGTCACCTCAGCGCTAGCCAAGCAGGGTGGGGCAGATCCAGATTCCTTTGGGTTCCAGGAACATTAATTAAGTGCCTATGTACAGAGCCGAGAAGCAGCCAGTTGTATCGGACAGAGGAAGGCCAACCTCTGAGTCAGGAAGCCCTGAGTTTGAGTCCTGCCCCTGGCCGTGTGCCCTGGGCAGCTTCCTGAGCCTAGCAGGGGCAGAGCCAGGCTGGACCCTTCGCTGGAGGGGACTTCCTTACTAGCAGCTCCCTTACACCAATAAAATCCAGCCCCCCCCAAAAATGTGCAGTGCTAAACCATGACCCTGAGGGAGAGGCCGAGAACAGCCGCTAAGATCTCAGACAACGGGCGTCCTGCCTCCTTCCCAAGAGCGCCCCTGTCCATCTCTAAACCGGGTCTTCGGACCCTGGCACTGCTCGGGCCCCTCCAGGGCTGGCCGCCATTGCTCACACGTTGCCTGTGTGTCTTTCAGTACGAGATAGCCATGGACCGAGTTCAAAAGAGCAAGCTGTCCCTCTACAAGAAGACGATGGAGGTGAGTCTCTGGGGTCACCAGGACACAGTGGTGGCTGACGGAGGAGCCTGGGACTGACCCTAGGAGCTGGCAGGGGCCAAGCAGAGGAGAGGGAGTAGCCGGCCTCTCCTGGAGGGGGCAGCAAAGCCAACACGGAGCCCTGGCAAGTCTGAGGGTGGGCGGGCACCCCTCAATGAAGAATGGGTGGACTCCTGGGTTATTGTGCCCAAGGGGCGAGATCTGATGAGTGAATCAGTGGCAGTGATGGGTTCAGGCTGGGGTAGGGTCCCAAGTGATTAATACGTGTTTAGCATCAGTCCCAGCTCCTTGCCTGGCCCAGATATCCAGCTGGGATCTGGCAACAGACACTGATAAAATATTTAATGTCCTTCAGAACTAGAGAAAAAGAGCCTGAACCAAGAAAAGGGGGTAGAGATTCCTAATGAAAGGTCGAGGCCTTTCCCATCCCCCTCCCTCCCCACCCTTTCTGCAGCCCCTCGTAGATTGTTAGCGGGGAGGGAGTCAATAGAGACCTGAAAATGATGGGAGGGCTGGGTGAAGAATGGCCTTCTGCTGGTGGACCCAGGGAAGAGCATCTCGGCCACACCAAGATGGCGCTGAGAAGCTTGTCTCTGGAAGCCTCCCCTCCTCTCTCTTTATTCCTACTTCTCTACCCCAGGTCTCTCCACCCCAGGTCCCTTGGGCTGCTTTGGGCCCCTCTTGCTGGGGAGAAAAGACTCTTATAGACTCCTTTCTGTTGGATGTGGGAGGGACCAAGTTGGCCATTTTAATGGAAGAGCCTGGAAAGAACTCTGAACCCAAGGAGATGAATGGGGGAGTTTCAGGCACCATGGTACCTTGGGTAGCAGAGACATTCTGGCACTAGGAGGAGGGCACACTCTCCCCAGGTCTCTCTTGGAAGAAGTCTAAAGTAGACTTTGATCGTGGGCTGCTCTCCTCCACCCCCCAGAATCACTCCCATATGGCCTCATCTTGATCCCTTGACTCTTCGTGTGATCCTTCCCCATCATCCTCCCCACCCCCCACCCCTCCGCCATGGCTTATCCCTTAGGAGGAGGGCCCATGGAGAGGAAGGGGGGGAGAGCCCGCTCTCAGGACCTCTTCTGTCTTCCCTCCACAGTCCAAGAAGACCTACGACCAGAAGTGCAAGGATGCGGATGAGGCAGAGCAGGCCTTTGAGCGCATCAGCTCTCAGGGCAACCAGAAACAGGTGGAAAAGGTACGTGGCGCCTGCCCAAACCAGTCAGGTGTGGAGGCCGGGCGGGGAGAGGCTAAGGCCTCCTGGGAGGACATGGCTGTCTGCTGCATGCAGCGAGGGGAGTGGCAAGTGAGCCCCAGCCGCTGCAGGGGTTCTCTCCTTTGTGCCCCTTCTCCCATGGCTTCCATCACCGGGCCACTTCACGCTCTCTCTGTCACATTTCAGGAAAGGCAGAAATGATTTTATGTCCTGCCTAGGTCAGGAAAGCGGGGGCATTTGCTACTCTGGGGATGCAAGCAGGGAATGGAAACAGGGATATAGTAGGACTGGGCTGGGGCCTGTTAGAGGGGATGCAAGCCTTCCTGCAGAGATATCTACAATGAAAGGGGTGGGTTTGTGAGGTTTGGGGGGGACACCTGTGGGTCAGGTTGAACTATTCCGATTCTGAGGTGATGGAAAGAAGAAACAGTGGCAGTAGGGGAGAGTGGGGAGAGTACTGAAGCCAGAAAGACCTGGGGTCAAATCCTGTCTCAGATACTTCCTATTTCGGACCCTGGGCAGGACCCGTCTTCCCCTCAGTCTCCTCACCTGTAGAAGGAGACAGTTGAATTTGGCGGCCTCCAAGCTGCCTTCCAGTTCTAGATCCACGACCCTGAGATTTTATGGAACTCTCCCATTTAACTTGGTGTTAACAAATAAATAATTAATAATTAGTAAATAATAATAAATATAAATAATAATAAAACATTTTAAATATGCACAGGAGAAAACGAGAAGAGGGGACACAAACAGGACAGTTTCATCCTGCCTGGTTAAGTTTAACAAACACTTTAAAAAACAAACTGTACATAGCAGAGGTTCACAGCTCATACACAATCCCCCGCCTCCTCTTTAGCAATTCTTAAGTACTTAATATTTTTTTAAGCGTAAAAAGATCCCTGATTCGGGAGAGTCCAATAGCTCCTGGGGCAGCCCATCTGCTTTCGGAGAGCCCTAATCATCTGTTTTTCCTTAACATTGAGTCCAAATTGGCCTCTTTTGTGACTTCCACCACCCGTCCTCCTGGCTCTGCCATCAGGTCACCACTCTCATTCCTACGGCATGCTGAAAGGCTTCTTTCTCTACAACTCTGCTAATGCAAGAATTATTATCCCCATTTTACAGAGGAGGAAACTAAGGCTCAGAGGGGAAGTGACTTGCCCAAGGTCACAGAGCTAGTAAATGGTGATGTGGGAATTTGAACCTATGTCTTCCAGTTCCAAGCCCGCCCCAGTTTCTCTGCCTCTCAGACCTGTTGGCCCCAAAGGGCAGATTTTGGAAGCCGCAGAGAGACAGATTTTGGTTCTATGTAAAGGCAAAACTTCCTCACAGTTATGGGATCACATACTTAGAACTGGAAAGGACCTTGGAGACCAAGGAGTACAAGCCTGCCATTTTACAGATGAGGAAACTGAGACTGAGAAAGGTTCAGGGTCACACAGTTGGTATATGTCTGAAGCAGGATTTGAACTCAAGTCCTCCTAATTCTTAGCCCAGTGCTCTATCCACTGGGCAATCAGGTTATTCCAAAAGAGAACCATCCCAAAGTAGAATGGCCTTATTCTACAGATAGTGAGTTCCCCATCACTGAAGGTATTCAAGCAGAAGCTGGATGACTATTTATTGGGGTCATATTGAGGATATGACCCCAATTGGGGGTCACTATTGGGGATGCTGTAGAGAAAAGTCCTACTCTACCCGCAGATTGGGCCAGACATCCTGACGGGGTCTCTGACTCTCATTTTATTTCATGGAGAGACCGGATGAAATCATGGAAATACTGGTCTATTCAGTGGAGACAGTGGAGTCCAGTCTATTATTGGACTTAAACTCAGGAGTCCTGTGTTCAAATCCCTGTCTGTTGCCTTCTAGCTGTATGAGCCTGGGCAAATCACATTAACCCTCAGAATCTCAGCCTCCTGATTCTATAAAATGGGGGCAATGATGGTCACACCACCTACTTCACAGAGCTGTGTAAGGATAGAATTCACAGAATTCAGTTCAAGCATTTCTAGGACCAGATGCCATGATCCCCATGGTATGTATTCCACCTAATTTTTAAGACACAGGACCTGCCCTCAGGGAGATCTTATCAACCTGAAGAGGAGAGAAGACAATTTATGCTTCAGGGCTAAAATGCACATCACAGACTCTTCATGCCTTGGGAGTGAAAAGGCAGGAATAATCACACCAGTGGGGCTGGTGTGGCCAGGAAAGCCTTCACAAAGGAGGTGGGACTTGAGTTGGGCCTTACAGGGTGGCTGGAAATGAGGATGGGGCACCGCAGTCAATCCCTGGAAGAAGAACGGCCCAAAGAGAGATGCAGAAGAGCAGTAAATACTATGGGCCATGAATGAGCCTTCTGTGCTCTGGGGACCACAAGAAAGGCTTCCATGAAAAAGGAGCTGGGGCCTGGATGTGTAAGATGTCATGTTTTTCTTCTTTGTATTCTAGAGTCAGAACAAAGCGAAGCAATGTAAGGATGCAGCCAATGAAGCAGGTACAGCTCCCCCCACCCTTCCCTACTGAGGTCCCCACCCCCAAAGCATCCCTATCCCACCTGGCTTGGGAAACTCCTCAGGCCACACAGATCTGCCTTGAAATGGGGTAATGGAGGTCAGGGCACCGGGGTTCCTGCTCTGCATTTGTCACTAGGGAAGGGAGTAAGTTTTTATTAAGCACCTACTATGTTCCAGACACTGTGCTGTGCACGTTTCACAAATGTTACCTCATTTGATCCTCACAAAAACCCCAGGAGGTAGGTGCCACTGTTATCCCCATTTTACAGACAAGGAAACTGAGGCGGGCAGAGATGAAGTGACTCAGGGTCACCCAGCTAGTAAGTGTCTGAGGCTGGATTTGAACTCAGGTCTTCCTGACTCTGGGCCCAGCGCTCTATCCACTGCACCACCATCTGCTTGACCTTAGGGTTGGTCACTGAGCCTGGGCTCAGGCCTCTGCCTTTGAATCCTTTGCCCGCTCGTGATTCTGCTATTCCAGCCCTGGTTTCTTAGACCTTTACCCACACCTCTGCTTACAGGATTGGGCCTTACAAAAGAGATGTTAGCCTCAGGCAAAACTCCCAACCAGATTAAAATGTCCATGGGCAATGTGTTAGCAAAATAAAGCACTGCTACTGCACATGGATAGCACATATCATCATGGAATATATATTCTATCATTATGTAATGCACAGACACTACATGAATATAATAACATAGATGATGTTAATTTGTGGTTTTCTAACTCAATGTGCAGCCTGTACCCTCATTTCTATTGAGTCTGACTTATCTGTACCCATGGCTTACTGCTCCTTTTAGACTGGAAGCATCTTGAGGACAAGGGCTGCCGTTTTCTATCTTCATATCCTCAGTGCCTCAAACAATGCCTTGTACACAGTAGTCACTTAATAAATGCTCGTCGAATTGAATGTCATTAAAATCAAAGACAATGAATGATGAAATGCCCCTGTAACTGCTGTAGGTACTGCAGGGATTTGAGAGGAAGAGATCTTTGGGGGCTGGGCTAATCAGGGCAGGCTTCCCAGAGGAGGTGGGCACTTGAGCAGGGCCTCGAAGAGTGGATTTGATTTGGACAAATGAGGGTGGAGGGAGGGTGTTCCAGGAAGAGACATTCTCTGGTTGGGCTGTTTTTCATCTTTGTCCGGCACAGTGTTAGGCAGTTCAGGATTGGGAGTCATAGATCCTGGGTTCAAATCCTGGCTCTTCCACTTGCTACCTATGTGACCTTAGGCAAGTCACTTAGCCTTCTTAGGCCTCAGTTTCCTCATCTATCAAAAGAGGAGGCTGAACTAGATGGTTTCTAAGACCCCTACCAACTCTAGGTCTGTGATGCTAAGATCCTATGGGCTGGTTTCCCAGGAACAAAGAGCACATGTTAGGGCCTGCCTGGGACTGCAAGCAAGGCACGGACCACAACAGGGTTCCTCTGGCCACTGACTGTTAGGCCCAGCCCCTGGTCAAGAAGATGATGATATTTGGGTCAAGGCTGTCGCCAAGGGAGCCGCTGGTGGGCAGGTATATTTGCTCTTACCTTCAAGGCTATATTGACTTCCAAACTAAACCCAGAAACTGTGTATATGGACTTGCCTTTCAGAGCGGATGTACAAACAAAATGTTAACCAGCTGGAGAAGGCCCGGTGTGACTGGGAGCAGGAACACCAGCAGACCTGTGAGGTGAGTGGCGCCCTAACCAGAGCTAGCCCGCAATGGAATGAATGGGTGTGAGGCTGCCATTACTGGCAATGACCCAACAGCCGCCCTGTGTCAGAGATGTCAAAGATTTGATTCATGTCTTGGGTGAGATGTTAGACCAGATCCCCTCCAAGCTCCTGAGCATCCCTGATTTCTCTGGTCGCTACCATCATCATCCTATAAAAGGAGGGATAAGCCACGGGCACAGATAAGTCAGACTCATTAGAAATGATTCCTGCAGGCTGCACATTGAGTTAGAAAACTACAAATTAACATTATCTAGGTTATTATATTCATGAAGTGTCTATTACATTGTGTAATTATAGAATACATATTATATGATAATATCTATTATCTATGAGTGGTAGTAAAACCAACAGGCTTCTCGGCAGAGGTGGGGGCCTATGGATGTGAATTACTACATAGTTGATGCTTTCGTTAGTTTTGCTGAACTGTTTTTTCCTCTTTATTTTTTATTCTTTATTATGGAGGATAGCTGTGTGTGTGTGTGTGTGTGTGTGTGTGTGTGTGTGTGTAAAGAGAGTGAGAAAGAGAGAGATATTGGGAAATGAAAGTGACATAAAAACAAAAGATTTCATCTTTTTTTTTTTAACAACCAAGAGAGGAGATTTTCATTCAGTATTGGGAAAAATGATCAGTGTTGTCCAGCAAGGGAATGGGCTGTCTGTGAAGGTAGCAAGGGTCCTGTGGCTGGAAGTTATCAAGCAGAAGCTGGATCTCCTATCAGGGTGGCAGAGAGGCCTCCCTGCTCACAAGAAGGTTGAACCAAGTGACTTAAAACGCTGTTCTAAGATTCTTTGACTCTATAAAAGTTTCTTGGAGGAGGCAAGAAAAGTCTTAGCTAAGAGATGGTGAATGAGCCCCTAGAAAAGAAACCCCTCTTGGATTCACCAAACTGAACAGGATACTGGAGATATAATAGAGAGAAAATAGTGACCAGTCTGGAGAGCTCTAAAGATAAAAGATGCTCCACGGGATAGTGGCAGGGCCCAGGGCTGCTTCTACCTGAGCTCCACTGAAAAAGATGAAAGAGATGACAACAACAGCAATGGTAATAACAAAGCAATGAATAACTAACAATAGTAGTGACTAACATTCGTGTAATAATTGGACTATGCAAAGTACTTTGTAAATGCTACATCACTGGAATCTCTCGGTAACCCGAGGAGGTAGGTGCTATTATGACCCCATTTTACAGATGAGGCAGCTGAGGCAGACAAAGACAGCTAGTAAATGTCCAAGGCAGGATTTGTCCTCACGTCCTGTACTTTATCAACATTAAATGTAAAATAATCATGGAAGGATAGAAACTTGCTCTAGAACCATTTCTATCTAAATTTCATCAAACAAGAACACTTTTTCTATAATAATAATACTTAAGATGGCTCATATTTCTAAAACACTTTGAAGTTTACAAAGTGATTTCCTCACCACAGTCCTGTTAAGTAAGTAGTACAAATATTATTATTCCCATTTTACAAAGGAGAAAACTGAGGCTTAGAGAGAAGTGACTTGAATAAGATTACACAGCTAGTAAAAGGAACATTCTGATTCCAAAAACAGTCTGTTTTTCTAGTAGATCATGTTACCTAAAGGATAAGCTGATAAGGCATGAATATGAAAAAAATATATATACATACACACACACACACACACACACACACACACACACACACATATATGTCAGCCGGGGGGTCCTGGCCCCTGATGAAACAGAGCTAGGTGGTATTATAGAATAATAGATGGGCATTTGGTATTGCCATCATTCCCCAGCCCCACTTCAGGAAATCTCTTTCTGGGTTTAGGCCTTTCAGCTCCAGGAGTTTGATCGACTCACCATTCTCCGGAACTCCCTCTGGGTCCACTGTAATCAGCTTTCCATGCAGTGTGTCAAAGATGATGAGGTAGGTATGGCTCTCTGCTCCTCCACTGACCAGTTCCCCTGCTTGCATTTCCTTGGTAGTCAAGGCACTAGTCAGCACACCTCTGCCCACTGGTGGTCTAGCAGAGGCCCAAGGTCAAGGGCACTGATCAGAGCTACAGGAGCTTTTTCCAGGAAGGAGGGTATCAATGGTCTGCTTCTGGATGGTTTTTCAACAACACTTAGATAAGAACAATTCTCTCTTCAAATGGCAATAACAATAATTAACCTTTAGAAGAACACTTTAAGGTTTGTAAAGCACTTTCCATGTATTATTTCACTTGATCCCGTTAATGACCTTGGCAGCAGCCCCTTTAAGGACAGGCACACCACTAGAGAAGCAGCAGTCTGGTTTAGCAGCCAGAGAGCCTGCCTTGAAGCCATGAAGACCTGGGTTTAAGTCCCTCTTCTGACACTGGTTGAGTGACCCTGGGCAAGTCAACTCACTTCTCAATGTTCGAGGCAACTTTGTAACACCCTAGGTTACAGAACAGATGCTAACTTTCACTGGTGGAGGGAGATTCCTCATTTGGGAGTTCTCTTTACCAGCGAAAGCACAGTTCAGTCCCTATCTCTACTGACCCTTCAGAGTAGACGCCTTCATTATCCCTATTTTACATATGAGGAAATGAGATCTGACTGACCCTCCCACAATCACACAGCTGATAAATATGTGCAGTAAGATTCAGACTCGGGTCTTCCTGATTCTAAACCACTCTATGCATCGTACCACCGGGCTGCCGTAGCCTCCTCTTCTCCTAAGAGCTTTCTTAAACAAGATCTCCTCTGAACCTCATTACACTCTTGGGTGAGCTTGGTAGCAGAGAGACGATTGTTCCTTTTTCATAGAGGAATGAATGGGGCCCCAGAGAGAGCCAGGAACTTGCCTCAAGTCAGTCAGGGAAGTAGTAGCAGAACCAGGGCTAGGGTCCCCGTCTCTTGGCACCCCGTCCCTTGGCACCCCGTCCCTATTCTTTCTCTTTGCCTCCACGGCTGATGTTGTCTCCTTTGCAGTACTACGAGGATGTCCGGATAAGTCTAGAGGGCTGCAGTATAGAGGCCGACATAGACTTCTTCATCCAGCATAAAATGACGGGAACAGAACGGCCAGGTGAGTTCAGTTTGAGGTTTTGCCAAGAGTGCTGGGGGGAAGGGGAAAGGGGAAGGGGCACACTGGGCTTGAGATGAGCCCAAAGAGAGACTTCTACACCACAGCTTCAGCCCAGGAGAGATGCAGGATGTTGCCCTGAGATGATTTTAAAAAGGAAAAAAGAGTTTGAGGCAGCCCTGTATATTAAGAATATATACTCAGTAGAAATCTATCCTGCCCTACAGGAAAATAGAAGAGGAAGAGGATAAGGGAGGGGGGGATAGAAGGGAGGGCAGATTAGGGGAAAGGGTATTCAGAATGCACACTGTCTTGGGGTTGGGGGAGGGACGAAATGGGGAGAAAATTTGGAGCTCAAAATCTTGTGGAAATGAATGTTGAAAACTAAAAATGAATAAATTAATGAATCTTGAAAAAAAAAAGAGTACATACTCAGAGAAATCTAAGGAGGAAAGGAGGAAATGGTGAAGAATATTTGGGACCAAGGAAGTAAGGAAGGAAACAAACAAATATTTTTTAAACACCTACTATGTGCTAAGCACTTTATAATTACTACCTCATTTGATCCTCACAACAATCCTGGGAGGTAGGTGCTAGTATTATCTCCATTTTTCAGTACAGGCAACTGAAGCAGGGGTTAAGTGACTTGCCCAGGGTCCCACAGCTAGTAAATATCTGAGGCTAGATTTGAACTAAGGTCTTCTTGACTCCAGGCTCCAGTGCGCACACTAGTGCCTCGGGTGGTAAGTCCAGAGCCAGCATCTAGAATCTGAGTGTCAGAGCATCCTGAGAACCAGCAGGACATCATTGAGATCAGGTCCTGCCAGATTAACCCAGGTTCCATTTTGACAACTGGTCAGTTATTGACAACAGTCAGTTATTGAACTGATAGTTCAGAAGAATACTATGAATATAATTAACTTAGAGTTTTAGCAAAGTGTTTGGCAGTATTCTCAAGTGGAATCAACAAACATTTATTAAACATCTACTGTATGCCAGGCATTGGGGATACAAAGAAAGGCAAAAGCCAGTCCCTGCCCTCAAGGGGCTTACAGTATAATGGGGGAGAAATCATGCAAACAACCATATACAAACAAACTATAGACAAGATACATTGGAGGAAATCTCAGAGGGAAAGCATTAGCATTAAGGGGGGAAAGGTGAGTGAAAAAGGCTTTGAGCAGAAGGTTTAATTCTCTTGTGGGGGCAGCTAGGTGGTGCAGTGGATAGAGCACCGGCCCTGGATTCAGGAGGACCAGAGTTCAAATCCGGCCTCAGACACATAACTCTTACTAGCTGTGTGACCCTGGGCAAGTCATTTAACCCCATTGCCTAGCCAAAACAAAAAACAAAAAAAACAAAAAACAAAAAAAAATTCTCATGTGAAAAAGAGATACACAGGCTAAATGCTTAACCAGTTAAATGGATTTGGAACTGGTTGAATAACTGGACTCAAAGAGCAGTCTTATGGCTCAGTTTCAGCTTGGAAGGTCTCCAGTGGGGGGGCCCTGGGGATCTGTGTTTGACCCATGGAGTTTAACATTTTTATTAAGGACTTGTATAAAGTCAGAGATGACATGCTCACCAGATCTAGAGATGACCCCATGCTGGGAGGTATAGCTAGTACACTGGCTGGTAGATTTAGGACCCCAAAATGGTCTTGACAGGCTAGAATACTGTACTTTATTGAATAAGATGAAAGTCAATAGGGCTAATTATAAAGTCACATTTGGATTCTAGAAATTGACTTTGTGAGTATAAGATGGGGAGAGACATGATTAGACTTGAGTTTATCTGGCAAAGATCTAAGCATTTTCACAGGCTTTTTAAGCTCGATCAGAATCAAGTTTGTGATACAGGGGCCAAGAAAATGAATGAGTCTGGCCAGAATGAAAAGAGGCAAAGCCCCCAAGAATGTGGGGGGTGGTCCCCAGATCACCCCCAGGAGTGACTGTCTTCCTGTATTCTGCCCTGGCCAGACCATATATGGAGACTGGGTTTAGTTCTAAATATCACATTTTAGGGAAGACATTGATAAGTCAGACAGCAACAAGCCAAGGGCAGTGGTAATGGTGACGGGTCTCCCATCCATGACTTCAAAGCTAGGGATGATTAGCCTAGATGAGAGAAGATCCTGGGGACATAACTGTCTTTGAGTATTCACAGAGGACGATCTAAAGTTCTTCTGCTTGGCCCCAGGGTGCAGAGCAAGTGGCAATGGGTGGGAGGTTTGGTTTATAGGCCTGGTTTGGACTGGATGGCCGCTGAACTCTGACATTCTGCGATTCTTTTTCTCCATGCCTCATTCCCAGTGGCGCAGAATCAGGGCCGTGTTATTGGAAAATGGGGTCTTCGGGTCCAGAGACCAGGCTTTGAGTCCCAGCCCTGACATCTGCTTGCTGTGTGACCCTGGGAAAGTCACATATAACCTCTCTGTGCCTTAGTCTCCTTATCTGTAAAATGGGGGTAAGGATACAAGACCTGTGTTGCTACCACAAGAAAAATGCTATGGACATGGGAGTCATTTCCTTTGGCTCCAGAGGACCAGAGATTTAAAGCCAGCAGGGAATTTAGAGGTTGTTAAGTCTGACCACCACATTTTATAGATGAAGGTACTGAGGCCCCAAACATGAAGATATGCCCATTGTCACCCTGGTAGATTCACAAGATCATAGATTCAGGGCCGGAAAGTATTTCAGAGGTCTTTGACTCGAACCCCCTCATGTTATAGATGAGGAAATTGAGACTCAGGGGTAAAATGATTTGACCAAGGTCATGAAGCTAGTAAGTGTTTGAGGCAGGGTCTAAGCTCAGGTCTGCCTGACTCCCAAGTCTGGTCTTCTATCAGCAACCCCAATGCCAGCATGTCGCTACATCTCTCAGTAGGAAATGGGATTTGTGCCCAGGGAGGGCTTTCCCAGAGCCCCTTTCCTAGAGGTGGTGAGAACTTTGAGATCCCTACTTCCCCCCTCCAACCTCCCTCTAACCTGTGACTTTCCCTCTGGTGGAAGGGCTGGGCCTGCCTGGGAAAGGTCCCCTCCCCTTCCCCGGGACAGTGGGAAGGTTGGTTTACCCAATAGCAATGGAATGAGGGGCGGCAATGGGAGGTGTCTGTGAAGACCTTTCCTCACTCGTCTCCCTTTCTTCTCTATCAAATATACAGAGGCCATTCTCTATGAGAACTACTATGATCGAAACCCCAATGGAGGCTCCCACAGTCCCAACCTTTACCCTGCGTGTGGCATGATTAAGAGGTGAGGACCTAGGGGATCCGGGAGGCTGAGGGGTGGCTGGACATCTGACCCTCAGACTTGCCCAAATCCATTTCACCCCCCCTCCCCCGTGCAGCAGGCGCGGTGGCCAGAGGGGATGCCCCAGCCCAGAGGAGGCAAGTTTGGGGCAGACTGCACCCAAGGTGCCTGTGAACACATCCTCATTTTAAATTGTCGTTATTTTATCTGTTGTTTTTTCCCCTTCAGATCACAGGACTTTTCTGTAGCTGGTCTCCCTTAGAAACAGCCTTCTCTGTAGACTGTGCCCCAGTGTCCAATTTAGTATTTAGTATCCCTGTTAGAAACTCCTGTCACTTTCTGGAGAAAGCCACAACAAAGATGAGGCAACACTATCTTTGTCCCTAGGTGACTGAATTTAGGTGGTGCCTAATTTAAAGCACTTCTAGTCCTTAAGCAGCATAGAAACAACAGAGCTCAGCAGCTAATTACCAAGAATCTTTTTTTTCTTCACCTGTGATTTCACTGGAGCGAGGCAATTCCCAGTGGGAGAGTGCCCCCTAGAATTCTGCAACCTAATAGTCTTAGAGAGTTACCTGGGACACTGAGAGGTTCAGGCTGGACTTGGACCCCAGTTTTTCTGAGTCCAAGGCCAGCTCTCTATCCATTGTGGCATACGCCTTTTCCTTCCCTCATTTGAGAAAGCGGAAAACTGAGGTCCAGAAAAGTCGAACGAGCAAGAATAAGTAGGCAAACTAGGAAACCACCAGGTGGCAGGCTGGGGTGAGCTCCGGTGATCCTCACCCGGGAGCCTCTATCAGGGACCTCACACCAGTATGCCAGGGTCTTGGTTCTTTCCTCATGGGACAGTATCCTGCATCATCTCCCCAGAGGAAGTCAGTGTCGTGCCCCTGGTTATAGGCCCAATAGGTAGTATTTGCCCTGGGCACAAAATTTAGGGTTTCTTCCAGGTAATGTATTTTAATGATCTAAGGCTTTCCACCCCTGGAAAGGTCCTTCTGATACCTGTACTAAGCCTGTCTATCCCTGGTTCTGCTGCTAAGTGTCTGTGTGGTCTTGGCCAAGACATTTCCCCACTGGAGTCTTAGGTTCATGGTGCCTGACATTTGTCTAGCAGAATGTGGTAGAGTGAGTATTAATATCCATCCTCTCACTGGGTCCCTGTGATCTAGGGAGGGTAAAGGCTATCACCCTTATTTGACAGAGGAGGAAACTGAGGCCAGAGAGGTGAAAAGCCCCAAAGCTAGTAGCCCGCACCCCCAACCTGGTCTTCTAACTCTAAGGCTCTTACCCCTATGTCCCACCAAGACCTTTGAAAAACATGTGAGGCTTAGTTATGGTTATATTATTTCCCTGTGAAGCCATACCAGTACCATATTTCTTCTTACTGCAGCACCTCCTAAATGTGTTTTTTATTTCTCTGTCTGTATTTCTAACCTGCTTTCCAACTTCTGTGTTTCATGTTATGTTCGCACCTGCAAACTTCCTTGATGCCCTCTCACAGGCCTTGAGGAAAAAAATGTTTCAACAAACACCTAAGCCTTCATAACCTGGGACCTGCAGCAATGCATTGATAAGGAGCCCAAGCTACCTTCAGTCGGAGAGTTTTTCATCTAGGTTTCCTGGCTGCCTTTCCCCCTGAGCCTTGTGCTCAGGCTGTCCTGTTCCTGACGCCTTCTTCCTCTTAAAAAATGTTTTATTGTTGCTTTAAAAAAATTTGTCACTCCTATTATGTTACCTTCCCCCAGTATTCTCCCTTATACCCAGGAAGTATGATTAGCCAAGTGAAATGGGCACCCTGCCCACGTCCAAACAGTGTATGCATTATAATGGAGGTGTGTCCTCCAGAGTAGAGATCAGTCATTGCATTGATTTGTGTTCTAATGTCTTCTAGTGTTTTTTCCTCTATTTCCACTTTCATCTTTTCATTGCCTCTCTTGTCAGAAAGGATATGAGTTATTTCCTAGTGCCTACATGCAGAAGCACAGGCCCCAGAGTCAAAATCAAATGACAATTCCCCGTTACTTTAGCACTTTCAGATTTACAGAATGTTTTCCTCACACCCGTCCCGTGAGACATGTGGATCGAACATTATTATGACCATTTTACAGAGAAGGTAACTGAGGTCCAGGGACTTGCCCAAGGTCACACAGCTTGATAGCAGTTACTTGTCAGTGACCCGAATTCAGCTCATTTCCCTGTCTACTTCCCACCTTCCTGCTGCCCCCAGCCTTGTGCTCTCATAAGTATAATCCCAACTCACATTTCTACAGTCCTTTAAGGAAGGTTTACAAAACACTTTATAGAGCACACCCAGTGAAGAAACTCCCTCTACCCATACAAATGGGTACCTTCTCTGCAATTTATAGTCCCAGAGAGTTTGCTGGGGCCCAGAGGTTCAGTGACTTGCTCAGGGTCACACACCCAGGACATGTCAGAGGTGAAATTTGAACCCAGATCTTCCTGGCTTTGAGGCCATACTGCCTCTTAAATTGGTGCTATTATTATCCCTATTGCACAAATGAGGAAACTGAGGCTCAGAGTCAAGTGACTTGTCCAGGGTCACACGGCCAGGATGTGTCAGAGGCCAAACTCAACTCCAACCTAGCCTCCCTAAATGTATTTCCTTTGATCTGTGAGGTAGCTGACCTGAGACTAGAAGCTTGACTCTGAACTCAGCTTCCTGTCTGCCAGCCTCTCAGGGCAGATGCCATTGTTCCCGTTTTACAGATAAGCAAACAGAGGCTAGACTTTGTGAGCTCTTACAGAATAGCACCTCGCCTTTCCTCAGGCACTGAGAGGCTAAGGCGGTTGTGTGGTGTGAGGGAGGTCAGTCCTCCATCCACACACACCCCATACACACTTTGAAGAGTAACCATTGTTCTCTCCACTTTATGAACAGAGGCCAGGGAAGGCTTCCCGGAGGAGGTGGTACCCAAGAGGAGCCTTAGAGTATGGGTGGGGTTTCTGAAAATAGAGTGCAGGAAGGGACTGGATTGGGGGAAGAAAAAGGAGTCCGGAAAGAGTTCCAGGAGAGGCAGTGTGGTGTGGTGAGTAGACAGCTGGCCCCAAAGCCAAGAAGACCTTGGTTCAGCTTCTGCCTTTGACACATTCTGCCTGTGTGGCCCTGAATGAGTCAAACCCAAATAGAAATGGATCCCATGCCTCTGCCTCTTGACTTAGAAAACCACAAATTATCCTCTTCTCTGCTGTGTTGTATTTGTATTTATTTTGTTAAACATTTTCCAATTCCGAGCCTGTGAGTCTGACAGCTCTGCTTAGATGATTAACTTCTCTAAGATGATGAACTTCACCGAAGGTGCCAACCTGCACCCGTAGAGGGAGTTTCCTCACTTGGGAATTCCCTACGCCAGAGAAATCACAGGTCCCTATAGAGTAACATGCGGGGGAGTCATGGGACAAAAAGCAAGCTGGTGGCAGAGAGCCTTGAATGCCAGAGGGAGGAATTTGCCATGTCCCCTCATATCACTAACCCATATCTGTACACGCACACACACATGCATGCACACACACACACACACACACACTGTGGAATGATAACTTTAAATATCTGCACACACACACGCCTGCACATGTACACACAATGCACACAGACACACATAACACACAGTTAATTCCCACCTGTGGCTCAGGGCTCAGGTTTTCCCCGCTGACATCTCTAGAAAAAGCTTCCTTGATCCCCAGTGCCAAGTGGAAAGGAAGGAGGGAGGTGATATGGTTTCTCTCTGACCAGAAGGAAGATTAGGAAGGAAAACCAGCAGCAGGGGCTCCCCCCACACTGGGGCAAAGCGGGTTTTCTGAGGGATTTCCGGCTCCCCACAGAACTTCCCACAATTCCTGGCCCGCAACCTGCATCTCTCACAGCAAATGAGTGCTGGGGACTTGTGTGTATGTGTGTGTGTGTGTGTGTGTGTGTGTGTGTGTGTGTGTGTGTGTGTGTATTTATCTTGGTCTGTGTGCCTTTTGGTATGTAATGGTGCAGTGGCTAGAGAGAGGGGCCTGGAGTTGGGAAGACTCATCTTCTGAGTTCAAATCCGGCCTCAGACACTTACTAGCTGGATAACCCTGGGTGAGTCACTTAGCTTGGCCTCAGTTTTCTCATCTGCAGAATGAGCTGCAGAAGGTGTCAAACCATTCTAATATCCCTGCCGAGAAAACCCTAAATGGGGTCACAGAGTGGCGGGACAGAAATGACTGAACGTGTCACTGCGTCCTTCCGGGGACAAACTCCTGCTCATGTCAGGAGGACCTTCAAGGCCACCTGCCTGGAGTCCGGCTGTGAGAAGCCTCAGAAAATAGATTTGCTCTCTCTTGCTGCCCCTCCCCCATGGGCTAGCCACCCCCTTCCCCTCCCCCCAACTCCTGGGGGTTTCCCACGGGGTTTTCTGGTGGAAAGAGCCTCGACTGTAGCCAAAAGGGCTGGGATCCCCAGTGCAGCCCCGAGCAGCTGTGCAGCCTCGGACAAATTCCTCCCCTCCCTGAGCCTCCTTTACCTCCCGGAGGAGGGTAACAGCACTTGTAGCGCGGTGCGGGCTCCAGGCTGGGAGGACGGCACTCCCTCACCTGGACTCACAGCCGAAGGCAGCTGAGTTTGACAAGCATGATTAAGACCCCACTTTGACGTGCCAGACGCAGAGCGTTCAGGAATGAACCTGGTGCTGCTCTCAGGGAGCTTACACTCTAACAGCTAAAGGCGTCCAGATCCAAAGTCACAGGGCCCTCTGGGCTTAGACTCTCCTTTAGGCCTCCCCTTCCTAGGGCCCGTCCACCTGGAGCATCTCCCTGCCCGGGCGAGGCTGGGCTGTGTCTGACGACTGGGCCAGGGCGGGTGGGGCCGAGTGGGCCAAAGCTCCTTACTAGAGGTTGAGGGGCTTGGGGCCCCCCAACTCACTAAGAGGCCAACTAAGGCATGAAGGAGCCTTGAGCCCACTGAGGAAATCACAGTTTGAGGGCCCCAGGGGCTGTGCAGTCCAAGCCCCTCATGTTACCCAGGGGACCACTGAGTCTGAGAGTGGTCACCCCAGGTGACAAAGCTGAGATTTGAACCCAGGGCCTCTGACTCACTTTCCTTTTCTCACCCTGACTCCTCCTGACCTTTTGAAGTTAAGTTGGGGGAGGTTTCAGGTGGACGGGGCCCCTCCCTGTGGGGGGTCCGGGTCACCTTAACCCAAGGCTCCTGGGGCAGAGCCGCCCCCCCCCGCCCCCATTCCCCTGGCCTCCCCCACAGAGTCCCTCTCCCTGGAGTCAGCGGGAGACCACGGCTGTGCCCAGGGACCCTCCCATAGACAAAGCTTTCTTGCATAATCAGTTTAGCCCTGACCTCAGCCCCAGGGTTACCCACAACCCAGGCCAGGAGGCCGCGGTGGATATGGAGTCCAAAGCACTGGCTGGGCAAGTGCGTGACTTTGGACAAGTCACTAAGACTCCCTAAGCCTCCATCTGCTCGTCTGTGAAATGGCATCACAGGCCTAGAGCTAGAAAGAGAAGGGAGCTTTGAGGTCCTCCAGTCCAGGTGGGTGTGGGGAGTGATTTGTCCAAGGTCACTTGGCAAGTGATCCAGCAGAGACTGGATTTGAACTCGAATCCTGTGACTCTAGGAACAGAACAGCACTCTTTCCACAGCATCCCCTCTGCAGTGATATTCAGAGTCACCAATCCCTCCCCCCACTTCCCCTAGGACTGTGCTCTGTAAATCAATGGAAGCTGCTCTGATTATTTTCTAGGGGATAGGGCCATTCACCTCCCCCGAAAAGTGCTGCTGGTCTGGGGGATGGGGAAGTACATCACCTCTCTTTATCCTGCCCTGCCCCCTCTGCCCATCCCCCAGGGTCACACTACTCCTCTCACCCACCCAACCCCCCACCATGCCCAGCCTTCTCTAGAGGTTCCCCCATGTACCTACATGGCTTCCCACTCTGCAGGCCCCTCTTAGATTCATAGGCTTCCTGATTTGGAAGGAGCCTTAGAAATCATCAATCCAATCTTTCCTGAACCAGGAGCCCTACAAATGGCCATCCGGCCTTTACTTGGAGACTTCCTGTGATGGGAGGCTCAGTACCTCCTAATAATGATAATGATAGCTAGCACCTACTATGTGCCAGGCACTATACGAAGCACTTCACAAATATTATCTCATTTGATCTTCATATCAACCCTGTGAGGTAGATGCTATTATTATCCCCATTTTACAGGGGAGGAAACTGAGGCAGGCAGGTTAAGGGACTTGCCCAAGATCACACAGCTCCTAAGTGTCTGAGGTCACATTTGACCTCGGATCTTCCTGACTCCAGGTTCAGTGTTTTATCCAATGCTCTCTCTAGTAATTTATTCCACTTTTCAACAACATGAATGCAGACAGGCAGAGGGAATTCTGAGCCTGAGTCACCTGGAGGAAACTGTAACAGAACCTAGTTTTCCCTCCCGGGGACAGGTGTGATGGGGGATGGGTGTGGGGAAAGGGAGAACATGAGGACCAGACCTAGCAATGAAAGGTGGCTGCGTAAGATGGGAGGGAAGAGGAAAGTCCCCAAAGAGTTACCAGGCCAACCTCTCATGGGGCCAGAAATCTCACTCCTACAACTTTGGTCTTTTGGGTCTTTGAGTTCCCCCAAATAAAGTACAAATACTCCCTGGGTGATGGGGCTCACCTTCAATTCATCAATTAAGACTGTAGCAGGAGTCAAAACCAACGGCACTGAGGACAGGATGAGGGTGGCCAGGTGACAGTTTGAATGGAAAAGATCCAGGGGTCTTAGTAGACTGCAAGCTCAATGAGAATCGACAGAAGGCAGCCCAGAACCCCTAATCTGAACCCAGAACTCTGCCTTAAGAGAGCCAGAGGTGATTATCCCCCATGGTCAGGCCACACCTGGAGTGCTGCCTTCAGTTCTGGCAGATGTTTTAGGAAGGGCACTGAGATGCTCAAATGCACCCAGAGAAGAAAAACCACATGGGGGGAGAGCAGGAGTGCAGACCCTACAATCATCAGGATGTGAAAGAACTGGGGATGTTTGGCTTGGAGAGGGGAGTTGTGATAACCACCTCAAAGTATTTGAAGAGCCAGCCTGGGAAAGAACTGAGACTTCCTGACACCAGAGGAAAGAACCAGGAATAAGGATAGGAGGTTAGAGGGGGCAAGTTTGCCCCTTGGAAAAGGAAAAACTTCCTGATCATCACTTGTCTACAAGGAATGATGGACTGTCCTGGTAGATAGTGAGCTTCTCATCAATGAAAGTATTCAAATGTAGGCTGGCTGAGCCCCTGTCTGGGATGTAGTAGAAAGGACTCTTGCTCAGGCTGAACCAGATGACTTTTGTGGTCACTTCTAGCTTGAGGAGCGGGCGATAAGGTGAGGGCCTGCTGATGCTCAGGACTTGGGAAATGGGACAATAGGTGGGAGCTTAAGGGAAGATCAAGACTATGGGAGGCTAAGGAAAAGCACTGAGAGGGAGGTAGGAGGGTCCGGGGACAAACTTTAGGGACGTCACGGTTTTGTAGGACTTACAAGTGTTCTTCTGTCCATCGCTGGGGGTCACATCTGGACTTATGGTGTGAGGAGGGGCTGAGGGAGAAATCCGCCTCAGGTGGCTAGGGAGGGTGGGGAACTGAGAGAGAGAGACAGACAGACAGAGACAGAGACAGAGACAGAGAGAGAGAGACAGAGACAGAGACAGAGAGAGAGAGAGAGGGAGGAGACTCTGAGAATGTTCCCATCCTCCAGACGTCCTCCAGGCTTTCATAGGCGCATGCCCAAGCTCGAAGAAACCCTAGAGAGCATGCTGGTCTAGGGGTGAGCAGAGACAGCCCATAGGCCAAATCTGGCCAAGAATGGTTTTGCATGTTCAAATGAAATAAACATTAAGTAAAGCTTTAGTGTAAAGAAATAAAATAAATAAATGAAGCTTTATTTTAAAATTTTAAAAACCATTCTTAGCTCTGTAGCTGGACAAAACCAGATGGTGGCCTGCTGGTCCCTGCCTACTGACCTTTCTGGCTTCCTGTGAATCCCACCTTCTCGGGAAGCCTTCCCAACGCCTCTGAATTCTACTGCCTTCTGACTGTTAATTATTTCCTATTTATCCTGTTTATACCTTGCTTTCTATGTGTATTTGTTTACATGTTGTCTCTTCCATTAGATTGTAAGGTCCTTGAGGGCAGGGACTGTCTTTTGCCTCTTTTTGTATCTCTACCTCTCAGTAGAGAGCCTCGCACATAGTAGGTGCTTAATAAATTCTTTTTGATGGATGGATTGGTAGTTCACCAACGCCCTGATCCAACCTTCACGTTTTCCTGAGATGGAAAACCAAGGCCCAAAGGGACATGGTAATTTGTCCAATATCACAGAGTGATAGAGCTGAGACTCAAACCCAGGTCTTCTGGCCATAAAACGGCCCAGAGAACATCTGTAGCCCCTTTTTTTACCCTTGCCCAGCCATGGCATACTCGGAAGACTCAGAGACAGAAGAGCATGACTGGAATCCCAGCTCTGACGCTTTTTAGCCATGTTCCCTTCTCGGATCCGCAGTGTTCTCCATCTGTAAAATGGGCATATTGTTGGAAAGAAAGGCAGAGTAAAGCTTTAGGCCCTATATGAACGTGGGTGGCTCATCCCTGGGGTCTTGAGAGAGAATTTTCCCAGCTTTCTTTCCTTCTGACTCCACAGGTTCTCAGGGTTGTTACATGGGAGCCCCAAAAACACCACCGAGAATGTCGTCCCCTCAGCCCCTCCTGCAGGTAACTGTACCTTCCTTTCTGGATAAAAGCTCAGAGCTTGAGTGGGCCCCTGCTCCTTGTGATGGGGCTCCCAAGAGGGGCTTGGGTATGAGCAGCCATGGAGTGGAGTTATGGAAAGAGGGACAAGGAACTCACACTGAACCAGTCACAGAATGCCGGACCCGAGGCATCACCCAGAGCAACAACTTTCCTTTACGGGGAAGGCGACTGAAGCCCAGAGAGAAGGGAAATGACTCCAAAAGTCACACAGCGTATTAATGGCAGAACCAGGCCTGGAACCCGGGTCTCCTCGCTCTGGGCCTTTCCCAAATGCTATTTGAAGTTGGCTTACTGGCCCCATTGGCATCTGAAGACCCTGAGATTCTGGGTCTGAGTGGCGCCCCAGAGAACAGCTGGGGATATTTGTCTGTGTTTAATTTAGGAAAGTGAGTGGGAGGGAACCAGAGAAGGCACCCACAGCAGCTGAGGCTCTTCCCTAAGAGTCTGGCAGCCCAGAACGGGCAGTGATTGTTGACCTGAGGTGTGGCCCCAGTGAGAAGGGCATGAGCATCAGTGGGAGCAGGCCCAGGGACAGGCCTGTGTGCCCCAGCAGGGCCAGGGGATGGCAAGGAAGGCTCAATAGTACAGCATGAGGGCATGAGGTGTGAGGGAGGTGAAGGACAGGAAGAGCAGGGCCAGAGAAAGAGCAAAAGACCAAGGTGGGGAGAGAGACAGGGAGACAGGGACAGAGACAGAGAGAGAGACAGGGAGACAGACAGAGAGAGAGAGAAGGAAGAAGAGAAGAGAGAGAGAAGGAAAGAGAAGAGAGGGAGAAGAAGAGAGAGAGAGAGACAGAGAGAGAGAGAGAGAGAGACAGGGACAGAGAGACAGAGACAGAGACAGGGAGAGAGGGACAGAGACAGAGAGAGAGACAGGGAGACAGACAGAGAGAGAGAGAAGGAAGAAGAGAAGAGAGAGAGAAGGAAAGAGAAGAGAGGGAGAAG